TAATGCAAATTTCTTGCTGCAGATCACGCCTCAGCAGCTTTGGTACAGCAGTGAAAACAAACAAATCTCTCCATGCACTATTAAATTTAACATTTTCCTCAGAGACTTTTCTTTTTTTGGATTTGGAATCCACAGATAGCCTTGCTAGAGGGACTCAAGATTAGTAGGCCCCGCTATAGAGAAAATATATAGAGAGAGGTGAAAACTACCAGGTCAGATGTAACAAAAAGGTTTTTTATTTAGTGTGTCATGCTATTTTTTTTTTTTACTTTCAAGAATTACCTAAGGCCTACAACAATGATAGATTTAAATTTTAAAAAAAAAATTTCAAAGCCACAGGAGAGGAGCTACTGAGGCTCTGGAGCTGTCGGTTGAGATTATTCTCAAGTCAAGTACTGCAATAAAACAAAAACAGACTTCAGAACAACTGTCAGCAGATTATGTCAACAGCGCGCAGACAGTAGCTTGATTCAATTACGGAGAAACACTTAGAGTCTGGATTCAGTCCCAAAACCTGCACAGCTTGTGTTATTTATCTTTGATTTGGTTACTAATCTCAAACATTCAAATATAAGCAAGCATCTTTTTCTGACTTTCACTTGGATTGATCATATTCCATCATTTAGCATCACAATAGCAAAGAGCTTCTTTACTCAGCAGCACATTTTTATCATACGGTGGTTCCCCCATCTGTTAGGTGCCACCTCAGCCTCATGATAAAAAACAATGATTAATAGTTCATGCGTTTGGCCAAATCAAGGTCAGTGTCTGTGATTCTTACTGAGTTGCTGGGGCTGCCGTCACTGTACGTCTCTGTTTTGGGCTCCACAGCCAGCTCAGCATCCAGGATCTTGTCCACAGGCATTTCCTCATTGAAACTGCTGGTAGATTCCACCTCGCTTTCCCCCCGCTCCTTCCCACGTTGCCTCTCTTCCTGCACCGCTGCACACACACCCACACACACAAACACATACACTTAAGGTCAAACACCCCATACTTATTGTCCTTTACTAGATCAGCAAAACCATAATATCACAAATATCAACTCTGCACTGGACAACAACACAAGACTCTCAGCTCTATAGTTTGACTATGAACAGCAGAATGTAAAATGTCGGAAAAATTGTCAAAAATTCCCAAACCCATTCCCTGATGATATCAAAAGGAAATTTCTTTCAAAACCAACAGTCTAAGACCCAAAGACATTCAGTTTATTCTCACAAAGAAAATAAACATAGATTCACAATAAAGAGGCTGCAACCGGAGAATGTTTTGCATTTTGCCTGAAAAATGACTTAAATTTTATTAATAATTATTTTTTGGGCAAATTTCACAGCCACCGTAGTTTCTGCTACATGCTTGGAATGAGAGGGCGAGACAAGTTGATTTAAATCTGCAACTACACTGCAGATGCCACTAAATCCTATATACTGGTCCTTGAAATAGTTTTACTGATCCCTGATCATTTTAGTATGTGCTTTATCCAGCGTTACTGAAATACTTATTCAAGTCCAAGACACTGAAAACATCAAACAGAAATGCTAAGGTGTGATGTGGATCAGGTTGTACATATTTCCATGGAGTTCAGCCTGACATGATTAGTATTTTTTGAAAACTCTGGGATCTTCACTAGAATTTTAAATACATTTCTACAGGCTTTAACAATTCTTATACCCACAGCATGCATTTGTAATAATGGGTTTGTGGGATTGAAGATATCACAGAACACAAGCCTACAGCATCAGAACTATCCTTAAGCATCTCACACCTGAACACACACCTTCTCTCTTCATGCCCATGGCCAGGCACTTCTGGTAGCGACAGTATTGGCAGCGGTTTCGCTGGCGCTTGTCAATCAGGCACTCCTTGCTGTCTCGACATGTGTAGGTAAGATCTTTCCGGACAGTCCTCTTAAAGAAACCTTTACATCCCTCACAGCTGTACACACCATAGTGCTTCCCTGTGGAAAAGAAGTCCACAACATCAGTACTGCTTTGTGCCAGCAATAGGCCTATATCTCCAAGTACATAAAGGGTTAACAGGGTTAACATGTAAACTAACATGACAACTACACAAATGCACACTAAGGCAAGGCAGCTTTATTTATAATGTAGAGCAGATTTCAAGCACTAGGAGAATTTAAAATGCTTTACCCAGGCAAAGAAAATCATTCGCATGACATTCAAAAACAATAAGCAATTAAACTGTACTAAAAGGCATTAAGGGAAAATTAATTAAGAATTTAAGAAACAGAACAAATGCAATAGAAAACATAAATTAAATAGAAAATACAAATAGACCAGAAATACATTGTGCAGTTAAAGTGTAGTATTAAGTTGCCCTAAATGCAACAGAGGAAATAAAAGTGCAGTAGAGAAAGATTTGAAAGATGCTAGGGTGGGGGTTAAGATCATCAGGAAGTTGGTTCAATCTGTGGGCCACATAGTAGCACATTGCATCAAGTTGTTTACTTGCTCTAAACATTGAGAATGAATCTAAGGGACCACTTGAAGTCACTTGGAGTTATGCAACATTACTGTCATGTATAATTTCACTTAGAGAGAGCCGTACAGGTTGAAAAATAGCGGCCCAAGAACAAAATCCTGGGGGACTCCACGTGTCATGGTGATCCGCTGAGATTTATGATCACCAATGGCAACAACATCGGCCCTGCTTTCAAGATATGATCTGAACCAACTGAGGACTATACCAGATTATCCCACCTACTTTTCCAGTCTGTCAAGAAGCGTTTTATTGTCCTAGTATCAAAGGCTGCCTTAAGATCAAGCAGCCTGAATCAGTACTCAGACGAATATCATGTAACACCTTTATGAGTGCTGTCTCAGTGCTGTGATGTGGTCTGAAGCCAGACTAAACTCTGTCCAAAAGGTAATTTACATTTAAAAAGGTAGGTGAGTTGTATCAGAAAAAACTATTTTCCAATAAAGGTAAGATTAAAGATCGGTCCGTATTTATTCAGTATTGAAGGATCCAGGATGCCTTTCTTCAGAAGAGGTCTAACAACTGCAGTTTTTTTTTTTGTGATTTTGGAAAAATTCCACACAGGAGGGAGCCATTGACAATTTCCAGCACCTCCATTTCCAAGAAAGTGAAAACACATTGAAAAGCCTAGTTGGCAGTGTATCAAAACAGAAGGTGGATGAACTAAGATGCTACACTATATCCTCCAGAGTTTGTGTATTGATACCAGTGGATGTTGACAGTCTAGCTAAACTGTTTCTGTGCTGCTGCAGCAGTGGTCTGTTTACATTATTTTGACATGGAGGAATTGGCCATTGTGATATTTTCAATCTGTTTTCACTAAAAGAAGATACAACCTCATTACACTTTGAGAGATAGTAAGTCAGCGGCTAACCTTGTTGGGGGATTATTCAGCTTCTCAACAGTGGCAAACAAGGCATGATATTTGTTGATATTCCTGTTGATGTTAGAGAAAAATACCTGGCTAGCTGTATTTATTTCAGAATTATAATACAAAGCCTCTCTTTATAGACGTTGTAATAAATCTGAAGATGCCTTTTTTCTCCATTTTCATTCTCTTTCCTGACTTGCAGCTTTCTGCAGCAGTGATCCAATGTCAATAACTTTCAGTTATTGCTGAGCTCACTTGCTCACTCACAGTTTTACCATCTAAATTAGCAATGAGTAAATCAACATATGCACTAATGAATCTGACAAAATGCCAGGCAAGTAACCTTCAAATCAATCTCTTTGTTATGTTTTCGTCAGTCAGTCTGCGTGGCGATGTTTGTGGTGAGTGGGAGTGTAAATGTGTTTGCCCATGCCTCTCCCCCATCTTCACCCTCTAACATTACCTGAGGAGCGGTCCCCGCAAATGGAGCAGATGTGCTTTGACATTCCCCCGGGGCTTGTACACTGGTAGTTGATGTTTCCCAGATTCTGTAGACCCGGTGGAGGCTTGATGTCCTCGGAGCTGCTAACACTGTTCATAGAATTCATCTGAGGATAACAGGAAGACAGACGAGAGAACAGAGACAAAGAGTTGAAGCTGAGGTGGCCAGAACTGAACGAGCAGAACAGAGCAGGGAGGAAGCAGAGGGGAAGTAAAAGTGAATTGTTAGCCCGTCTCATGACACTTTCCCCTCTTCCTCTATTTTCACGCTGTGTCTTCCGCTTACCCACTTTTTTCTCCCCACCCACACACTTCATTGTGAAAGTGACTCGGGGTGCGATCATATGCTCGATCAGTGGGTGGGGCTAAGGCATCTGTCTAAGGCTTGTCATACAGGTTTTTTAATGTTTGTTGACAGGGGGAGGCGTAGAGAGGAGTCACGTGTGCAGAAAGTGCAGTTCTCATGCACAAACAGCAGAGGGCGCTCATGTGCAGCTTCTACCACTTTCTGAGAATGAGTGAAATTTTGTTGCTCAGACACTGAGATTTCTTATCAACACACAATTTGTTTCACCAGTCCAAATTTCAGTTTTCATTAATCATCAGCTTCTTATAATAGCATCCCAGGTGTATCCACAACAATTCAGACCTTAATTAAAGTGGCTCTGATGCCATGAGACATTAAAAAATCTCATATGTGACCTCAAGCAGCCCCATGAGATGTAAAGGTGTGAACAACCCACTGAGGTTACAATAATTGGGGCTCCCTACAACTCAGAGGGGTGGAACATATTGGAGATATTAGTCCTGCTTCCTTTGACTTCTACATATCTCTCTCTCTCTCTCTCTCTCTCTCTCTCTTATCATCCTTGTGCCCTTTGACCCTCTCCTGCCGATGAGCGCCAAGCGGGATGCATATTTGTGCTGCACATTTTTATTTGTTTAGTTGTTTAGGTGCAAACATCTGCACTCCAAGTGGAAACAACAAGGCTGACCTACATATGCCCTCCTGTCCCATATATTTGATGCAGCGTGACATACAGGACATCTTTCCCACAGTCACCTCAGGCTCTTCCTATCACTTATTTACAATATGCACTCTCCTCTGAATATCGTCTAAATGGCAGACTGAACTCAGGCCTGTGACCTTACAGCAGAGGAGAATATACAACAGATTTTGTGTGTCTTTCATTCTTCCCTGAGCTCACTAGTTCTCTACACCACCACCACCTTTTCCCACTGTAGATGCCCCAAAGGCAGACTGTCACACTTAAATGAGCATTCAGCCCCCTGTGTACATGCTTATGTGAGCCAATGGTGGGCAGCTATTCCTCTTGAGCGCGTGGTTTAGTTTTAACAAATCATTAATTTTACACAAGTAATTTGAAAAAATAAGTCTTGTGGTGAATTCAAACAGTTGTTCATACATACTGTACATGCTGCTTAAGACAGAAAACATACTGCTGAAGAAAATGGCTAAAAGCACTGTGTATGGATTATTGATGCATCATACATTCTTTATATAACACATGGTATGAAGAACACACTGCTTCATACATGTAAGGTTTACTTGGGTCTTTAATGGGCCAGACATGTGTCGCATCATTAAAATGAACAGCTTTTTAAACAGAATTTGTCAACAAATCAATTAGTTGCTTGACAGAGAATAAAGCAGGGACTTTTCTGATAATAGTTTAATAGTTAAAGTAATTTTTTCTGAGCAAGAAAAAGAGCCACAAAACCCTTGGTTCTTCTTTCATGATATTTAACTAAATATCTTTGGGTTGTAGGTCAGACTGAACAAGCAGTTTGTATATGTCAGCTTGGGCTTTGGGAAATTGTGATGGCCATTTTTTTTAAATGGGATGATAAGAATGAGATGATAGTAGAAAATCTAAATCTCACTAGATTGTACAAATTGTAGATGGTACAAATAAAATATTGAATTCAGCACGGCACTGCTCATGAACTTCAGCTCACCCATGAAAATAGTGTGAGATGTCACATGACACAATGACCTGATGGCGGCTTGGTCACCAGCTCAGAGCAGTGAAAAGATAGTTACACCACACAATCGTATCAACCCCGACTGTCCCTGAAGGCACAGATCCATACTGGGATTGAACCAATGTATATCATTGTCTGCTGTGCCCTGCAGCACTGGCCTCGATCCAGCCTCTGTGTGTGTCTCTTTATGTGCCGATCATCAAAGCTCTGAGCCTTGTGGGGTTTGTAGTTCATTCAGAAGACTACGCGCCACTAGGCCTTTCTCTCATAGTCATTTGTGCCAGACAGTAAAAAAGGGCAGTCATATGGGTGTTTCTGTTTTTATTTATTTATAGGATCATGAACAACCTTGGCATAATAACCGAGATAGAACTATGAAAGAGACTAAAGCCAGCAGAGAAAAGTGGCAGGAGAAGACAAAAAATTAGGAGAAATGGTGAGGAAGAGCAAAGAAATCTAAGAAAATGGAGGCTGCTCTTTTTTTCCTTTCTCCTTTCTCTCAGTAATCCATTAAAGGGCTAATAGTTGGACTGCGTCTTAAGTCCCCTCGCATGACAGCAGTAACACAGAACTCAAGGATGACCTTTAGGGCGAGAAGTTTAAAGGTCAGCAAAAGGGTAAGGAGAGAGAGCAAAGCCAAAGTTTGCCAGCCAAACACATTCGATATGGCTAACCTTCAACCTCCTGTCCGCTGTCAGAGATTCCAAGAATTAGAGTCACATGATAAAACAAAGAAGATAGTTTAACACAGATGGACATTGCCAAAATTAGTAATTTGAGGGAATATAAACCTCTGTCGATTAATTTGTTAGATTAAGAAAGAGCAGCAATGAATAGAAGTTTAATGTTGAGTTGACTTATCTGTTATTTAAACACACAAACCCTGTTTCCAAATGTCTTTCTGGGTATGCATGTTTTTCACTAACTGAGTAGGTACCTGAGGAAAAGGCATGGTGAAGCCATGTTTTTTATTACAACTGGAATGCACCAAGCATCAGAATTTGAACTTGAATTAAGACAGCCTATTAAGACAATGCCCACTGCTATCTGATGACCATCAAAACACCCACACATTTGCTCACCTGTGGACTGCTGAGTGGTCCAAAGTTCATGTTGGGTGTGGACGGCAGCGATACAGAAGGCGAGCCAAGAGAAGATGTGATGACGGGGTAGGGCGAGGCCAGGCCATTCATTGGCGAGCCCAGGGTGGACATGGGGGACGGTAAGGGCCTGGAGCTGCTGATGACTGATGGGTGGCCCACCATGCCACCCATGTGAGAGTGGTGAGTGTGGGCTGTGCTCATTGGCCCTGTAGAGTCTGTAGAGAGAAGAAAGGGTGTGTTAAAAAGATTGAGGGGGGAGAAAAACACTGAGGTACCAGTTAATTAGGGACACCTACACATTCGAATACAAAATCCTGTCTTTGTGAAGCTTGACACTGTGACAGAAAATATATTTTTAAGGCTGTACCGTAGTTAGTGGTGGTTTTGTGTTTGTGTGTTCTGTGTTGGAAGGTATGTCCATCACATCACATTTACAAACATATGCAAACATAAAAATATCTGTAAGTTTGAATGAATTACCTGTTGAACTAGGAACTTTGTTTATCATGTAAGAAAATAGTACGAACAAGCTTTAAAATATAAGGCTAAAGCTAATAAATCCTATTGCTTAATTGACATTGCATGGTGGTTTGGCTGGTTAGGACCAGCGCAACAAGCTAAACATGTATGTAAATGATGTTAAGTACTACATGAATGGATCAAACAAGCCTGTGAATCTGAGAATATATTGTTGACTAACAGTGCAATATGTCTTTATGCAGTCAGTGTTGTGTAAATATGGCCACAGAGAGTGAAGCCCGCCTGACTTTGGTCACAGGATGCTGACTTTGCTTTGCATCTATTGATGTAAACTGACAGGCTGGCATTTACATAGATGACCTACTTAGAAAAGCTGTCAATCATCTGGATAACAGGGCGTGGTGTGTAATTTCATGCATGTGCTGTGGCTGTGAGGACATTCATTCATCATCCACGCAAAATGCAAATACCAACATACACATACAGTATGCACATGTAAGGGTCAACATGTACTTCACACTTAGGGAATAAACGCCACAGGCTGGCACGGCTTGTTGAGATACAGACAGATACAATAAGCAGAACCTCTCTGGGCTAATGTCAATGACTCAAACAGATGAATTAAACTGGGTTATTTTTGAGTAAAATGTTACTGATGAAGAGTGACATGCCACTATATGCACGTAAATATTTGGACTAATCTGAGCGCACAGAAAATTCAAAAGCTTCAGCTTGTGTGTCAGTGCACCATCCCCCCACCTTTACACACACACACACTCATACACAGTGTGACACTGGGCTCAATGCCACTGTTCTTAGTTAAATGTCACATTTCTGTGTTTGTGTGTGTAAAGGTGGGTGATGGTGTGATACACATGCAATGAACAGCACCTGTGTTTTGGTTTCTTGAAAGATGCCAAAAAATGTAATAATTTTTCTCTTCATTTTCTACCTCAGAGCTCAACAGGGTGCCTAGAGATCGCTTTTGTTTTGTTGCTGAAGGCTACATCACAGAAGTCAAAAGACCTTTTCTTTAGAAGAATCCATTAAAACGTTGAATCCATCATCTTGATTAACATAAAAAATACATATTTTCAAACATAATTTTGTATAGCAGCTCAATTTGTTATGAAATATATTTTCTCATAGACAATAATGTAATCCCTTTCCCAGTGAAAATCCATTTTAAATTAGCAAAGATTCACTGTTCCACAACAACCCAAGAGAAGTGGGTCTCATTAATGAGCCAACACACGGAAAGTTGCTAAACATGTAAATAACCAAACATGATTTTATTGATCCTTTTTAAGAGTCTGGCTCTGAGCTGCTTTGATCATTTAACTTCACATGATTTAAACAACAGCACGAGTTCCCTATTTCTTTTGCTCTAAAATCTGAAAGAACGACGCTCTAGATCTGCATGGAAGCTAGATCTAGGAATAGACCTTCCTAAGGGGCCAAAGACCTCAGTGACCTTTCTTTAAACACTGTCTGAAGACTCAATCTTACAGGCTTCAGTGAAATGATCTATAATCAAAAGGCCACTTCACTAATTCTCAGCCTCAACTCTATATGTCGTCATTACACATTCCTATTTTTATTGTTACATTTGTCAGTGTATGTTGTAGGTAGTGATGAGTTCTGGGCACTAGCAAGAAAAACTAGTTTTCGTAGTTTCACATCTAGTTTAAATGTACTTTTCCACGTTGCAAAGTTTCTACATTTTAACTGGTAAAGAGAAAGGTAATAAAAACACAACAATTCTTATTTTCAGGGGATTATACACTAATGAAAACAATCCCATGAATATTATATTAAATTTCTGCCAATAGATCCTCCTAAATGCACACTGGGCCTCTAATAATACCATTATAGTTCTAACAATGATGTTGAAAACATGTTGTTTTCATCATATGTTCCTCACTTTCTGATTGTAACTAATTAAATGTTGCTTATGTTGTTGTAAAAGTTGCTGAAAATATGTCAAAACTCTTGACACTGCTTTTCCTCCGTCTACCTGCTCAACTAACAAGAGGTTACGTAACGTCATGCTGCCATAAAGAAGTTTTCTCACTACATTTACAAATACATGAGCGCAGTATTGGACCCAGTACCCGTCATCGGTGCGTCCTGAGTGCTTCCCTTCCTGCTGCTACTGTTTGGCTAATGCTTTTTTTGGGGTGGTGAACTGAACTCTCTTATGAGATTTCCTATGATAGTATTGACATGTGTAATGCCTAGACATAGGCATTTGCTTCTTTATTTGACTTTCACATATCTTGTAGTCATTCTTGTTTATCATTGAAGCATTTTTTTTTTTTTTTTTTTTACTTTTACTACATATGGAATACAGGAAGGGTTAGTTCTACTCACCCACAGGCAGTATTTGTCACAAGAACCTCTTGTATGTTTACAATATTCACAAATAGAGTTTGGACAGTTTTTTTGCCTTTAACTTTGCTAAAGAAAGACTACTTGCTAAATACTTTGCAATCATTTTGAAATGTTGCTCTGATAACCTCTGGCAGTGATTAAGCCTGCATTAGTTTCTTCTGCACTGCATATGTGAACTATAAGCTCTCTTTAAAAGAAATGGAAACATTGAGTAATGTCAGACAGTTGATTTCAGAATTCAAGGAGTTGGGAAACAGGGAGGAATGTCACATTGTCTGCCTGGATGCAGGACTTTTTGCATGAAGACACACTTTGAAACACACAGCTGGCCATTCACTCCCTCTCTGAATGCCAAGGAACAGATGTTGTGCAACTTCCTGTTTAGCGCTGAGACTATAGCCTCCACCCCCTTTTTCAGTCGCCCACTTTCTCCAGCCCTCCATGAGTGATCCCTGGCAGGCAAATATGTATTGGGGCCTCCCTCTCTCTCCCACAGAGCTGAGTGGATACACGAGACATATCACAGTAAAATACAATATAAAAGCAGCAAACTCTTGAAACTGCATGCTACGGCCTATAATAGAAAAAAAGAGTACTACCTATATTTAAATTCTTCCATGTCGGGAGTGTATACCCAACTTTTTGGAGTGCAGATTAACCTAAATAATGAGCTTATGTAATGGGAGAGCACTGTACAGCATGTGCTGTGTCTGATTTTGTGCACTGACCCCTCTCTTTATGTGCATGACAAATTCCCTTTGGGGCTCGTAAAGATCTATTCTATTCTAGAAGTGCTGAGTATAAGATATTGTAACGGAGCTATCATCACTCCAGCCAACAATTTGACAATGTGCTCTTGTGAACATCAAGACCAATAAGTACTCTAATTGCCCAGGCCAAAGATGTCAAGATAAAGGTCTCTCTATATGACTATAGAGAGATCTGAAACAGTAAAAAGACAGATTGATGGGGTAGATAAGCAGCAACTTGAAGGCAAGGACCTACACAGAATTTTTACATTGTTGATACGATGCAGAACAACATTTGGACCTCAGACAAACCTCTGTTATTGATTGTTTGAAGCTAAACTTGAACCCAACGCTTACATTCTTGCCTTTTGCATTGCGTCTACACTTTCTCACTTTCACAATCTTGAAATCAGGAAAAACAAGCAAAGCAACATCCTTAACCAGAACTCTAAAAATCAATAATGCAACCACTCTGGTCCCAATCATGCATTTATTTTATGCTTTTCAGCCTGATGTTTTATAGAAATGCAGGTTGAAAATCTTTGGATTTTGGACTCACTTTTACCTTTTTGTAGATTAATCAATAAAACAACCAACAAACAGCTCAATCAATAATGACAAATATTCATTAGATGCAGTCCTATTTGAAACCTATTTGACCCCTGTCTTGGTGAAGTGCAAATTTCCATTCAACTGCATATTAAAACAGTCTAAAAAATAACCTGCATGTTTGAGACAAAACCAAAGATGACTTTGTTTTGTTCAGACCTGAGAGTGTTTGTGGGGAGCACAAAAGCACATGGACAGTCAGCTGGTGGGATGCCTAAAAGGGAATGGCCGGCGAGCTGAGCATGCTTTGTGAAGGGAGTGTGTGTTTGTGTGTCTGTGTGTGTTTGTAAGGAGGCCAACATGTTCAGTGGAGGAAGCATAAATCGGCCCAGAGCAGCTCAAAGGGGCCTATCCTCGAATGACCCGCCTCAACCGGCTGTTCCATCTCCATTCTATGTAAATCACCTCTACAAAGAAGCCTCTGGAATGTACAGGCCTAACACACGTTGTACAGCAGAGAAAGACATTAGCAAGCACTGGAAGGCTGTTTATAGACAGCCTACAAAAACTCATCACAAGCAACTCGCAGAATCCACACAGATTTAGTTTGATTTAGTTTCCTGATAGTATCTGTTAAAACCTATACAGTGCTGCAACAACGCAAGCATCTATTTGAGAGCAAACAAACAGACAGAGCAGTGAAGGGCACCTTTGACCGCTGGCGCCGCAAATCAAAGGTCGCCTGTTGCCAAACTCCTGAACCAAGTTCAAAAGAGTCTATCTGTCCTATCTGCCGTAGCCCACAGTTACAGCGATCATTCTTATTCTCATTCTTAGTGCATGTAAAACCTACAAACAACACAATGCCATTCAAACAGTAGAGTTTTAATCTAAGGATGGACAATGTGATAAATTGTCACAGTAATTTTCCTTCATGGCTCACCTCTAATATCTCTTTGTCGTGATCAATCATAGTATGACCAGTAAAAGATTCTGGACTGAAATGTGGGCTCATTGTTGAGTAAAAAACATTCGGTAAGACATTAGATAGATAATTGTGCTAAATTTAGTGTATTGTTCATTTCTAATATGAAACCATTATAACCATCATATTAAATAAATAAGAACTTGTCTTGGTGACTTCAGTATAGAAACTGTATTTATATCTGGAGACTTCCACAGACAATTAAATATTACATATATATTACTATCACACTGGACAAAATGGTAGTGCATGATTGTGAATTGGCTAGAATCTGGCAATGTGATTTGCATTACGATACAGGGGTTACGATTCAGTATATTGTGATACAATTTGATACTATATTGTAAAAATCTAATATTAGGAAAACTAGTATATAGAGTATTCAATATCTGAGTGAAAACAAGTTCCATCATGCAACCAGAACAGTGGGATTTGTATTTGTAAAACCTAACATCATACATAGCACTCAGACGTTTACAACACTGTTGTCTGCTATCTGGCGGTTGCACACAAGTCAGTACAGTGTTTTTAACAATCGATACAAGATCACAAAATGAAATATCGTGATAGAATATATTTAGATATTTTTCAAACCCCTAGTGTAACACATACTGTGACCTAGTGCTAACTATTGAGGAACAGAAAACTTGAAAAAACAGGTTAGTCAGACAAAACAAGCAATCTGAGGTCTGTGAAAATTGTGATCAGTATTTTTACTAGTGCCTGGCATTTTAAATACTAAGCAGTAAAACATTAGTCAAATAAATAATTGCTCAAACAATTGATAATAAAAATAATAATAAAGTTGCAGTCCTATATGAACTAGGATTAGTGCATATCAGTCGTTATAACAGTATTTTTCACTTTATATGCTCAAAAGGAGCGTCACAGTCAACAAACACAAAAACAATTCTTATCAATATCTCTTATATCACAATATAAGCAAATAATCAGAAACAGCTCCAGTGTCAACAATACCATCATCACCACCATCAAACAACTACTTGCATTAGATGATCATTCATGTAGGACAACCACATTTTATTTTCACATTTGTACAGAAAACAACCAAAGGCACAAATGTATCCCACTGGTCTAACGATCAACAGGTTTAAAGAAACATCACAGACCACAAACCCTCTAAATCCCTCACTGTTAATTACTGGGTAGTGGCTGGATGGAGCACTCCACTGTGTGGTAATTCAATAAGCCCATGGCCCACTAACTAATAATATCTCCTGTCTGGAGAGCAGACCAGCACTGAGAGTATATGATGGGGGGAGTGGGTAGTGGTAGGGATACGTGACAGGGGTGGGAGCAGCAGATCCACTCTTGAACAACAACACAAGCCTCAATATCTATCAGATTAGCCGCTATAAAGACAGAGCCTCAGCATGTGCATCGATCTGTTAATACCTGCTTCATATGTGCCTGCATGTGTCTTGTGTGTGTATGTAAAGTACGACTGCATGCTCTCATGCTCGTATTTGTGGCTGACAGCGCTGTGGCCATATGACAGAGAGCAGAACGCATCCTAAAGTAATCAGACAGACAGCCTGCGGAGCTCATTAGATACAGCAGACATGTAATTAAGAAATCTCTTCACTACCAATCGAGCTCATGAGCACCAGCCACAGACCCCTTGTCTGACACACACACTCCTCGCGAGCACACGCGCTCATCAAGTTTCACATTAAAAGAGAAAAAATAGACAGATCTTCCACACACACTAGCACAAAATCACCACCCTTTAAACATTCATTTCTTTGCTAAATGAGGTTGATGTCTGATCAATTGTGTCAGTAAATCCTCTTATCCTCGGGTAAGTATCTGCAGCTCAGCAGGCCAGCTGTCAAGAAGGTGGGAGGCCGAGGAGGAGGAGGGGACGGAGAGAGGGACAGAGCCAGATAGGAAGGAAGGGAGCAATGGATGGACGGATGAAAGGGGACGATGGGTGGATGGGGGAGGGCACTGTCCCGTTCCGGCAACGGCTTCTCTCCCCGACGCTCACATGATCCCACCGCCACACACGCCTAATCTCTCCGCCTGGCTGAGAATATTAGATCAATTGAGAAAAGCCCCTGAATTTTTTTGCACAGCTGTGATTTAGGAAATAGAAATGGTTATTGGTGAGAGAAAATTAATATATTCTCTACTGTTACATAAACAGCAAACTGTTCAAAGACACCTATTATATATAGCCCATAAAGTTTAAAAAACAGATGCTGTAGTTGTATATCATTCATCTCTTGTTGAAAACATTAAGAAATAGGAAAAGGTTTTTCCAATAAAGGCATACGGCTGAGACAACACAAGCGCTTGAGCTGAGTGAACTTCTCTGACCCTAAATTCTGCCCTGTCGTGAACTCACACACAATTTCCGTGAAAAAAAGAGAAATTAATTCAGCTCCCTTTCATTCTATCGCCTATCTCTGTAGTTTCCCTGAAGCAAAGCTTCAAATTAACAGAAGTCAAGTCAAGCTAACAAACATAAAATACACAATGTACTGTATTTCCCATTTGTAGGCCGTTACCGCCATGTCCTCACATCCACAAACACTGCAAACTTGCCAGGCAAAAGATCGATAAGGAGGCCAGGGCTGAGACAGGGACGAGATAAAGATTGTTTTGCGAGTGATAAAAAAGTTTGGAGCTTAAACAACAAGAGATAACACAAGTCCGCTTGCACGGACAGAACAGGCTGACCAAGCAGTCCTGGACAATAAACAAACAGGTGGACTGAAAGGCCCAGTGCAAACTGAAGCATCTGCCCTAGTGGCTCTGAGGTAACTCAAATTAGTTCCTAGATGTATTCTCTTGCTGTTAAAAAGGACTACAGAGAGATGAGTATATGCCCTCTGAAAACACACACTCACGCACACAATACGCACTAAGCCACTCGTCTCATGCTGTGACCCAGTGAGTGTGACCAGGGCGACCTGACCCTGGACCTGTGAACAGATACAGACAGCCAGACACAGACACAACCAGCCTAGTACTGTAGCTGCATTTAACTTGAAGTTAGTTTTGGGGTAATTTGGCATCTGAAAAATATCTAAGAAAGAAAATGCGAGATTAAAGTTTAAAAGAAAAAAAGGAAAAACTGTCAATAATTGCATTTTCATCCATGTATTAATTTGTGCATAAAAACTGTTTTCTGATCCCAGAGGAAAGGCAGAAGTAAATAATGCAAGAATGTTTTTACGCTCTGCTGAGGTGGAAAAGTTAATAAATGAATGCTAAATGGACTCAAGTTTAGTCTTCTCACCACTCAAAGCGCTTTACACTACATGTCACATTCACCCATTTACACACTGATGACAGACGCTGCCATGCAATTTGCTAACTGCTGCCCAGAAACTAACTATGCCCATGCACACACACTCACACACCGATGTCACCGCATCGGGAGCAATTTGGGGTTCAGGATGCCCAAGGAGGCTTCGACATGCAGAGGTAGGAGCTGGGGATCGAACCACCAACCTTCTGATTAGTGGACGACCACATCAGTGTGGAGTGATGAGGAGACTGTAACGTTGCTCAAATTAATACATGAAACAAAAACAAATGCAATATTTCCATCATGTTTTCTACATGGTTTTCTATCGTTTGAGGTTTGACTGGCTCATCGCGTTGCGTAATCTTCTTCTGCAATGGTTTATGGCACCCAGCTGCAGAATTAGCGTCACCAGCTGTTTAGCTTGATGAACCTATCGCTAACGAAAGTGGATGGAATAATTAGCATTTTATTTTGCAGATTTTTCTGAAAATTTTATTAAAATTGTAGTACATTTGGATAGAAACCTGCACATTGATTAAGGTTCAAACAAGACTAAGAGTTGACAGCCACTCTGCTGGCTAGCATTTTAAACCATGCTAACCTGTTTTTAAGGAGGTACACTATCTACCATGTTCACCATCCTAGTTTAGCCTATACTTTAGCACTAAACAGTGCACGAATTTGATCATAAACCAAAAGTGTCGGGGGAAATTGAAAGTTTGACCTGATGGTGCCACCAGAGGAAAAGTTAAGGGGTCACCATCAGGATTCATCCTGAGGGGAAAATGACTATCTGTGCATAATATCATAGTAATCCATCCAAGAGTTTTTTAGATATTTCAGCCTGGAACAAAGTGGTATATTGACTGCCCAACACTGGAGTCCCTAGAGCTATGGTGCTGGCTAAAAGGTCCTAAAAGGACTGGTATCTTTGCATACTTTACCCGAATAACTACAAACAGTATGCTGAATAAACTCATAGAGGTTGAGAATTTGCTTGGAATAGATCAAATATTTAATTATTTAACTTCCAGGTTTATTTTCTAATAACATAGTTCTTGAATGCTATACGTTTTGGCTGCAGTTCAAGTATCAATTCTCTGCAAAGTTGATTTCCACATCATACTGGTATGAACTGAAACTAACGACTGTCTGGAACATAAAAAAATCAATGTATAAACTTGTGTTTTAAAATGGCAAGAGTTAATGTGAAAACATGCACAACCTCAAGTATGATCTTTTAGCTTTTATTAAACCACAGTCCAGTTGTTTTTATGAATTATTTCTCAATACAGGCACAAAAGTACTCTTTCCATCGTTTTTTCCATCAACATTATTGCAGTGTTATTATGAGCATTATGGTTTTAATCATCATGGCATAATTAAAATGCACGGATTAGCATGTCTCTGAAGTTTGTCCACTATTCTCTACTCTTACTTCAACCCAGAAAGGAACTACAGTTGAAAACAGGAGTGTCACATGTTCTCTAAAGAAAAGAATCAGTGCTCTACTATTTACATATTACACATGTACATACAGTGAGCTAGTTAATAGGCTGACTGCAATATGTGTGGAAGTCAACTTACATCAACACCTCCCACACCTCTTCAAACACAGGAAGGAGGAAAAGAAAAAAACCCTCATCAGAGCAAGTGTTGATGGAAGGATGCAGGGTGACAGACAGCAGACAAAAACTGAGAGAGAAAGCAGGATGGAGAGGGCTAATACGAAGGGACAAGTGTCGAGAGATAAACAGATAGCGAAGGACACAGCAATGAGAGCTGGAAGCGTCCCTTTAACTTGAGTGGCATCCCCGCTGACCACATCTGAGACCTCAAGTGAGTCACAAGCTTTCGATTGCAACGTGCAACAGCAAGGCCTTGTACTTGTCACAACTGGTTAAAATTATCCAATGATTTTAAAGGCAGGAACTGAGCTGTTGGGGGCCAATAAGATCATGAAATCTGGATTCACATATCAAATCCCTAGAACAATATAGTTCTCCGAACAATGTAAGAACTGTTTCACAGTGAGACTCATACATAATCCATATAGAAAACATCACATGCAAAGAAGTTTCATAGATGAATGCTGCTGGGGAAATACATTCAAAACAACTTGTTCAAAGCGTGCACAGAGATTAGAAGCATTACCGTAATGCATCTGCTAGCTTTTAGTGCAACGGTGGTGCAGACAACAGGCAACATCTTCCACCACATACAATCCCAGGGCTGATTCTGATCTGTGTATTTACAATACTAGACACACACACAGGCACGACAAACCGGGCTACTCACAGTGGCCATAACCTATGTCCCTCCCAGGGCTGCCTCCAGCTGCAGGTGATGCCACAGGGTGCCACATGCCTTCGGGTGCAAGTACAGCACTGGCAGGACGCCAGTCACTCAGGACCAGAACTCAGAATTAAATGCTGGCTCTGTGACAAACTAAAAAAATGATGTGGATACTCCGAAAAATCAATCAGGACACAACGGGAACGGAGGGGTCAACGTGGAAATGGGGTAGGGGGTAGAAAAAAATAAAGAGAGGCAGAGTCCACCAGCGGCAGTTATAGGATTACCCAGATTATCCTTCCCCGGAGATCAATCCCACAGGAACTGTTTGCTGCCCGACTGCTACACAACTCAGCTCTCCTACCGCCCACTCATCTGGTGTCTCTCTCTCTCTCTCTCGGTGTTGGTAAAACTATCTGTACAGAGACACCTGTGGTAGTGGCATAACAGCGTGTCTGGAATGGTAGGGAGGGTGCTGGGCGGGGTCTAGAGAGGGAGGGTGATTACAGTGGAGGAGGGTCCCACTTAAGAGCACAAATCAGAAGTTTCCAATTACTCCCTTTTAAAAGGGATCAAGACTGGGGAGCATGGGAAGACAGTACAACCCCTGATGTTCCTGTAGTCCACAGAGGTTTTTATGTGTCAATGACATTTTGTTTCCCAAAGATTTCTTCATTTTGTTCTGTTTTTTCCACAGTATTAGTCACAGACTTTCTGTCTAAAATGTAGGTGGGACGTTAACGTTAAAAAAGGAAGTGACAAGAAGTAGCCGGACGCTAAAAATTTCTCTCTTCTACCTCCTTCAAAATACCTGGAATTGCCTTTAATGCCAAGAAATAACAGTGCCAGAATGCAATGGTACTGTTGTCGCATGTGGAGTTGCCTGTGTGCACACTGTTAGTATGTTTGTGTGTTTAACAAGTGTTATAGCATTCCAGGAAGTCAGGAATTGTCTTTTTTTTAGCTCTAGGATGGTCAAGCAAACACAAAGCAAAGCGAAAAACCAGATGCAAATACAGGCCAAAAATATACCTTAAAGGCAATCTGAAACAATACACGACAAACCCTAAGGCAACCTAAATAAACTACAAAACCCATGCAGGGATGGATTCAGTCTTCAGACCCTTTCAAGACATCATCTATCAGAACAGTCTTTCAAAAAATGGTTTTAGTAAAACAAACAGCGATAAAATAAGCCCTCAAAAAGTAGGAGTTAAGTTTGTTCAACAATGACAGAGGCAGCATCCATTCTTGGCCATGGAAGTATGTCATATCATTATTACCAGAAAATAGCCCTAGCCAATAAATGCGAAATTGGCACTGATTTTAGTCTGCAGCTGCTCTTTTTAATTTATCCTGCCACACTATCAAATGTTCACCCGGTTCTACCCTTCAAGCTTTTGAAAGACATGTGCATTGAAAGATAGAACTAAAAACTTGATACGCCCTACCCAGCATGTGTGCATCTATTTTACTTACATGACTCAACAGAGTTTTCTTGTGCTGTGCACCTGCATGGGTCTGGATCAAATGTCTATACAGTGCTTGAAGGATAGCCACCAGTAACCAGATCCCCACAGTGACAGTAACCTGGCAAGAGACTTCGGCAGCCTGACACAAGAAGAAGGGAAGACGGAGAGGGAAAAGAGACACTTGTCTCTCTTTCAGACTTAACAAATCCCACAGGGAGAAACCAAAATAATACAGTCCTTCTTAAATGCATGCCGTGTTATAATAGTGTGTCATGGCCCACATAAAACACGCCAAATTAACCCTGTGAGCCATAATTAGCGTTCATAGATGTATTGTGGACAATGAAGATGTCAGAGGAGGATAATTGGGAACCTAAATTTAGGGTACACACATTTAATCTGAACTTCTCATAATCTAATTACCACTTTGTCATCAAGTATACTCATTGTAAGTCTTCTATAGGGTTGACTGAGAAACGGAGAGGCAATAAATCAGCCAGTTTGCGCCACTAAACTGACCTCAAGAGGAGACGTTTTTCTCTTCATGTCCTCATCTCCTTGCTAGCAGTGATTTTTGACAACAGGAAAGACATTATCATGCAACACACTTGGCTAGAGAACATTTGTAGAGAAAGGCAGTTGAAGAAAGGAGGGAAAAGAGCAGAAAAATAATGTTATTTCCTAACATCAATGTGTGCTTGTGTGTCGTATTTATGTGTTCACGCTTACTTTTTTGGTTGTGAGATTGGAGCCGGGCACTAAAATGGCACTCAGAGTGCTCAAAATAGCCAAGCCAGTTTTCAGCATGTTCTTAATGTCTCTCCATGGAGATGTTTAATGAGATCTAACATACTTAGATGTTACCTGTTGCTGCCATTTGTGCTCCTGTACGAGTGCCATGAAGAAATCTTTGGCCCTGTTTACACCCGGCATTAAAATTTGTCTAACGTGATGCGATCATAAGTGGATAGCAAATTGTTGATGATTAATCAAGCTGATCAATTTCTCAATTGAGGAGTATATTATATTATATAATTGTGGGTATATTATAGTACTTTGTTTAACTACACACAGTGGTGGAAAGTAACTAAGTAAATTTACGCAAGTACTGAACTACAAATCTGAGTTTGTCCTTGAGTATCTCTACTTATATTTGCTACTTTACTTTAAATATTTTACAAATATTTTATAGTTAATAGTTATTTTTAACATTACGATTTAAATACACATCCTTATAGATTAAACTACCAGTACTAACAGTATATGAAGGAGTTAAAATTAGCTCCACCCCGACAACTAAAACATTAAAGTAGCGCTCACATGTTAATGCATAATGTAATAATACAGTAAAATGATGTCAGAAAGAGTCTACAAAATGAGAACTTTAACTTGTGATACCAACAGTGTTTCCCCTGATACACTATATCAGATGCTCATTCAACATTTAATGTAAAATGTAGCCATATATACATGTTATGCCTTGCGATTGATTTTTTTGAATTAATTAAAAACAAACACGGATAGATGCTTAAGATCAGAGGGATGTGTAATACATAATGTTCAGTGCACGGAAAATTTGAGTTTGTGTGCGCGTCCATGTGGTTACTGCATAATTAACAAAGAAATAGCTATATACATCTCAGAACCCAACAGCTGCAGCCGGTGGGCCTTTCAAGGTTCTCTGCTTGATTAAAGCTGGAATTAAATCAAGGCTTTGACCTTCTTCACTAATGACTAATTACTGGCAATTAGCCCAGAGAATGGCCTCCTTACGCCCCTTCTTTTCCCTCATCCTGTTCTCACAATTAGCACCCCCTCACACACAGTCAAGACAAGCAGACTCTTTTACGCTGACACATAAATACACACACTCACTCAAAAGTGGCGGGGAATAAACCTATTGTATGTGTTGTGTGCTAATGCATTGCAGGTCTCAAGCTACAGAATACTTGAGCAAATACCTGCAGAGAGCCACACCCTCTACCTGTGTGGTTTATTTAACTCTGCAAGGGTGGGTGGGGGAATGCTATGTGCAGGGATCCGCCGTTAGAGAGCAGGTTTAATACAGCCAGCACTTCCCATTCAAATAGTACCACCCGCATTCTTTAAGTCACATGATACCACGGTCACATTTTACTGTACAATAGGCTATGCATGTAGGGAATCCACATATCTGCAGCTGTGAAGTTTAGGCATGAGTGTGTGGCTGGGTGTGTGTGTCCCTCCCTGCTTCTGTGTGTGTGTGTGTGTGTGTGTGTGTGTGTGTACTAGGAGGTGAATCATTGACCCCTGGCAAGTGATGAGAGCTTGCATCAACTAGGGTGACCTCTTTCTCCACCCCCCACCCCTTTCCACTTCCCCTTTATTTTCACTCTCCCATCCCGTTCTTCTTTCTGCCATGACTTCCCTGAACTGCGAGCTAAATACATTCTCACTGTCAAAAGTAGCGAGTGGGTGCCTGTCAGCGTGTCTAGAATCACTTCCACTGATGGAAAAAAAAATGCTGAAGTGCAGAGAGGAGAAAAAAAAAACGCTGATTCTACTTGAAGGCCCGAGGCAGGCCTGCATCAAACCTGCTGAAACGTAACATGTCTGGGAAAAGCTGAGAGAATCATGAAACAATACACACAGTCACCGGGCAGTTTTTTGACTTTACACTACTTCACACACCACCACTACACATTGATGACAGACTCCAAAAGGAGCAAATTCATTTGAGAGTGATGGTCTCCAATTCAAGAAATGAGTTGTGTTTATGGCCTTATTTTGATACATGTTTTGGTATGTGGGCTGTTGATGCTAAAATACATCATAAATCATAGTTATGAGCCAACACGCAGAACATTTCTGCCTTTAAATGATCTTTCAGTGGTTGTCTTTCCCTCAAAAAACAGCTCGGTGGATTTACTACCAACGATTATAATGTAAATGCACTGTACTGTCCTCATCTGGGGTTTGTTGATCGCTGATGTTTTCTGTGTGTGTTTTTTCAAAACACAAAAATTACAAATATTCAGCATTTAATCCAGATTGCGAGTCGTTGTGGGTTGGGAAAGCTGCAAGAGCATTACTGTACGACCGCAATGAGACAACAAAACTCTCCAACAACCAACAACCAAGACTGATCAAATTCTTTGAGATGAGCAGTTTTTAAATGCTCCATAAAGAGTTGGATAAACCCTGAAATACGGTCAGAAGTACAATAAAGTGAAAAGGCCTAAAAAGAAATGTGACAAAAAATATGTTTGAGTGTCATTACATTGTGTGTTAGCAGTGGACAACATGATGTCTGATTATGACAGATCAATAACAGCTGTACATTTCTGCACACTGGTCTGACTTTATCCTGATCTGCATACATCTTAAGTAAGTGCAGAGTAAGTCTCTAAAGACAAACATGAAAGACTCTGAGCCCGGGGGGACTGCTCTGTTACTTCTGTACACTGTGGGCTTCCCTCTACATGCTCTCACATCCAGATGTCTCTCTCACTCCCCTGGGAGCCAGATTCGTTATGGAAACAATTTTCAGCCCCTCCAAATGGTGCCGCGATATCTGTGATAACATAAAAGGGCTTCAAAGACTGGTTTTATTTGTTTCCTTGCGATGCCTCACTATTCTCCCTCTTTCCAACAAGACAGTGATGTAGAAGCACGTGGCATGTTTCTACCACAGTGGTTTGACAATGACTGTATCTTTCAGGGAGAGAGAAAGAAAAAAAACATCACATGATAAATGATGCATATAGTGTGTGACTCAGTGAGGCTGAAAGAGCCTGTCACTCCAGATAGTGTCTCATTTAAAAATGGTTAGATAAACAAACACAGGCCTGACACAAACTTGAAGCAGGATATGAACAGTATGTATTCCACATGTTGCAAACTCCACAGTGGGAACAGAAGCCATTTCCTTGTCTCTGTGGATTTTAGCCTGTCAAAAAAGCCATCAGCTGGTTCAAGGGCAAAGTCGTCGAGTCAGACCAGAGTTCAGCTTTACAGGGCAAAATCACATCATGCTGTCTGTCACTCAGCTTGGTACAGCCACAGCGCTGACCAGGGCGGCTCTTACACACTTACTCGGTTCTACCACAGAGAGCAAGTTTGTTTATCAGGAGAAATCCGCCATTCCTCATGGCTATTCCATGCATTTCTCTCTGGATCTGGCGGCCATCCCAGACCAATAAATTGTGTTTCTGTCTCAAACTGTTTAGCAAGAGACGCGCGACAAGCGCCATAAATTACATAAGCGCAATTAAAGTGCCAACCTCTGACCTTGCCTGACCGGCACAACCACGATCACCTGACTTTTGCATTGGCCGCAGCTTTCCTTTCAATTGGCACAGTTGCGAAACGATAATTAGGCAAAGAGAGAAGCATAACAACCGGATCCACGGACAGGAGTCGGTTGTTAAAGTCCGCGGACGCTTTCGCGCACAGCTCGCGGTGTCGGAGAGAAGACGCCATGAACGAAACGCACTCTCATCTAAGTCAAAACAAAAAGCAGCAGCTTCGCGACAAACACAACAACCAGCCCGGACTCTAAATACATCGCTGCGGTGTACTTACTGAGGTGTAAATACGGATCATTACTGTCCATACTGTGCGAGTTGTGGCGTCGATTTCCTACAGTCGGTGCTGCTCCGCATCCCAGCGCATTCCTCTCCCAGCCCGACTCAACTCTGCAAGGCGGCTCTACACGGGGGCCCAGCGAGGGAGGGGGGGCGGCAAAACAGGGCTTCTCCCAATGACAACAGTGGTCGATATCAGGCTCCAACACGATCATGACGAAACATCTCTCCTGCAGTGACACCGTGTTGCAATATTTTCACAGTAAAAGGTAACTTTCCGGAATCACGGCGCAAAAAGAAGGGAAAAGAAAGACGGTGTTGTTTTTGAATACGGCCTGGGTTTTTTTTTTTTTTTTTCAGTCGTTTTTTTTTTTCTTCTTCTTTACATAATCCGAAAAAATCTCCCTCTACACTAAAAACAGCTGCAGCCAGTATGTCTATGTCTAATAAGGACGTGTACGCCTCGACATTGTAATGCCAGGAGATATGATTTGGCCGCCAATATGAATAAGATTATTTCTTTTAACCATAAGACTTTTGCATTTTGTAGTTCTAATTATTGAGCAGTCTATACATCTGCACATATCAGACACTGGTCCTGATGACCTACTTTTAATGTCTACCACAATATTCACCTGATATTAGTATATTCCCTTCAGTTTGTCTAAATACATTTTCACCTCCCTGTTAATCTGTATTATTGGCTCTAATGAAATTATAATCAGGTATTGCCTATGAGCCTATTAAATGTATTAAATCTCTAAATGGATGCTTCTAAAATTACAAACAGTTTTTAATCTCCTGCCGTCTTTCTCTGGGGGGATCTTTCCACTGTTTACCTATTGCTAGTGTGAGTCCTGGTCTGGGTACCCCCCGGAGTCCCCCCACACCCCTCTTCAGAGTGCGGGGTCATGTAGGGGTGAAGCTCCCGGTACCTCAGAAGGTTATTCAGGAGTCAAGCCGCACTGAGGCATTCACAGTCTTGAACTGCGGAGCGGGCAGACGCTCCGTCAACGCCGGGACCGCTGACCACTCAGCGGGCCATCGGGCTGCCCCGCTAATGGGACAAGCACCCCCGGCTCCACCGTCCTTGTAACAGCCACCCATAAAGGAGCACAGGAGGATGCTAACCAAGATGAATGGCATTTTTTTCTCAGCTCATTCTACACTAATCAGAGCTTTTCATTTGTTATGGCCTCGCGCCAGCCCCTCCACCGCTGGCTCCATTAGGGCCAGATAACGTATAAATTCATTAAAGTCAGAGAGGGACGTTAAAATGGCCATTTGTCAGATCTCTCTTTGTGTGTCCCTAATGGTGGCACATGGTTCAAGGCATTCAGATGATTTTTGGTAGGGCTATCCAGTGCATTAGGAGAGGAACGTGGGAACTAAGGGAAACGTGTGTGTTTTTCTGTTTTTCATGAATGGTGGATACTTGGATTTTATTTTCTATTTTTTTATTCAAATTTGAACATGTAATTGGTTTAATGCTAGGTTGGTTTCAGTACTTTTTGAAAATAAAATCAGGAATATTTGCTGCCCAAAACAACTGTTTTTGTACCTATTTAGTCTATCATGTAACATCAGAAACACTACCAAACTTAATTAGTCTATTCAGTGGAAAGTGTTGATATTTTAACTTTTCTTTTCTTTTGTTTTTGTCTAATTAGAGCAAAATGTTTTTTTGTGGTTATCCAATCCATCCATCAACTTCAGATGCCCCCCCTCCCCATCCCCTACACACACACACATACAAACTCACAGTCAATGAAGCAACCCTTTGCACTAATCCCTTTGTATTCGCACCACCATTCCCACCAAACAATGTCCTAAAGCCTAATCCTAAACCAAGCTCAACAAACCTGGGCTAGCAAGTCTCAGTGCAGCTAAAAGGCCAACACAGACCTGAGGAACACACCGTCTGTTTCACTGTAAGACTTCACTTGCATTCACACAAAGAGCACAAGCATATGAATGCAGGGATTGAAGCACACATGCATCCAAGCACACACACACACACACACACCAAATCTTTTTTTCATGCTCCCTCTCTTTTTTGGCCCCCTTCCCCTACGTCCCTCCTTCCATTTCTGTATCCGTCCTTCTCTGGCTTCAGGATGGAGGTTCTGGCTGCGTCGTCATGGGAGATGGCCTTCTCCATCTGCCTCTGCTGTCATTAGCCCATCTCCATCACGCTTTATCGGAGGCCACCCCCCACCCTGCTGGACCCTCTTCAGCATTCTGACAACCCCTGCCCCCTGCCCCATACATAAGGCTGAGATGATAAGTGTTCTCCCTCTTTGTGTCGGCCAGGATAAGACAATGCCACACAGCACTACAGAACATCATCCATCTCACAGGTCATCAATCTGGGACACAAAAGATGAAATGTAGCTCGAACTCCCTTTTGCAAAGGGGTTTCTCTTTGCTTAGAAGAAGCTCGTCCACAGTCTCTCTCGCCCCTTTTCACTGCTAGGTTGGTAGTTCACCAACGAATTCTTCTCCAGTGCATGCATGGGAGGAAAACAGTTAATGCAGCTATTTTGAGTATTTCTTAAAAACACCAGCACACAATTCCAGTTGCACAAAAATAAAACCAGACATTATTTCAACATCTACAGTGATAGATGAACTCTGTTTCAGTTCCTCTGCAGAGAAAAAAATATCTTGTAGATAAGAACGCCTGACTACAAACAGGCTGTTGATCCACTTTAGTGTCCACTAAACTGACACACTAAAAGGCCTCTGCCAAATTTATATGAATTTGTTTGGTGGTAAATACTAATTAAAAGCCACGTGTCACATAAATAACACCATTTACCTTTTGTTTCTCTTCTTTTCTGCCTAATTAGGTTTACATTGTCTCATCACCAGCATGAGGCTTTTTGTCTTAATGACAGCAAAGTCTTGGTTTGAGGTCTTCAATTTATTTACGTACGATAACCCACTGAGATTAATGTTCTCTCCAAAGAGGCCAAGAATCAAAATAGCACGATAAATGTTCTCAGAAATAAAATAAAACCCACAGACATGGTCACTGATATGATGTATGACAGTTTTACGATATTTTGTCCCTCAGTGGGTTTAGTGTAATCTGCCATATGATTGTTACTCATTTATATTGTTAAAAATGTAGCTTCAAATGTGACTTTTAGTTTTTGCAGCAGTCACACAGGCATACAGAATTTGTGAGCAAAATATTCAGCAAAAAAGAAAAAGTGTGTGTATGATAATTAGATTCTAGTGGACAACGGTGTGCTGTTTTATCTCATCTCTACTCTACTCTCTAATGTGCAGGTTTTATCATCTTTAGCCATCATGACTACAGATAATAAGAGACAGATAGCTGCCCAAAGTGTTTAAAAGCTTAAATTGTCTTCAGATTGGGTGATCTTGCTTTGTTCTACATGATCTGATGGCTGATAAATGAACAAACAGTATGTAAAGCTATAGGCAGTATACTGGAATAACATGATATGAAGCTAGATATTTCCTTTGATTTTGTTTATTGTAACATAATAATCTCTAATCTGTTAAATAGTATACTGGTATAATTCTTTTGTTACATTGTTTTAGCTGACTACAATAGGCATTTCTCCCCAATTGGCATCTTTTTTCACACTATATAGCATTGTTCCCCAAATGTTTTCATGTAAATACCACTTTAAAGCTCCAATAATCATCCAAAAATAGTGTAACATTATAAATCTTGAGGTTTTTTTTTTTTTGGAGTATTGCGATAAGACAGTGCCATGCTATATTTATATTAAGTCTGCTTCATTCCTCTAGGAATTTTATTCCAGGGTGAGACAAATGAGAACTTGATACCCAGGATCTAAATGCTCTCATATTTTGAAAAGAATTTAAAAAACCATCAACATGGATGTCACTTCAGACAAAAGATGAGACATATTGTAGCAGCTTCAACGGCAACAAAATATGCCCCCCACTCCATTTTATGCAAATGTTCTGTTAAACCGTTCTGCCAACATTATCAGGTTAACCTGATAATCTGCTGCCCGCGTCTGGGTCTGAGGGGCTTTACACACAATCAATATGATGAGCCCTGAACTGTCCGCAAAATAAAGACACCGGTCATGCCATTACCACACCACTCCAATCACACACGGTTGCATTATCATTACCATCAGGGCACGTGATATAGGCAGACATTTATGGCTTATATTTTTAAGATCTTTGACTTTGAGGAATAAGGCATCCTTTGATTCCAGCAGGGTTCACAGTCACACTGACATGTTAGCAATAAAGAGCATATAAACAATATACTTAACTTACTCGTAGTAATATGATGGCTTACATTCGGTGATTAGGTTTTATGTTATAGGTGGAGCACAGACTCCAGGCAGATGGTTGACCTCTATGTTAGACTTTAGCTTGCTGTAATAAGTTTAGACAGACTGGAGGCCTGATCTTTCAGAAGGGAGCTGAACCAGTCCAAAAAGGAATCAACCAGACCACCTCAGGTTAATCTCACAATGACCTGAAATGCCCAAGAGGGATTACTGATTTTAGCACACAATGTCACTCACCACTGTAACCGTGACATTTAAAAGTCACAAACAAAGTCGAAGAATATGCTTTTTAAGAGAAGGTTTATTCTGTTGGAGAACTAATATGCACGTCTTTCTGATGAGATGAGACACTTTTTGGACTTCATGTTACATGCAATCAGTTGCATCAGTTATATATTTTGTTCTATGAGCACGCAAAGAACGAAATGAAATTATAGGTGCAGTGTGCACTGACATTTGTCTGTACTGATTCGAATGATTCATAAACTGATTCAGAGATTCTTTTTATAGGCTGTTTTGATGTCACATCTAATCTGAATTTAAAGGGTTAGGCTGCTCCAGCGAATTGGTCTTGCATTTCCATAAAACAGATTTTAAAACTAATGTCCTAATTGATGAAGCAGAGGCTTGAATATCCCGAGTTTTGAATAAAAAAAACCTGCATCCTGTACTTCTTGCAACACTACTGTCTTTAAATAGAACTATATATGTCTAGTTTGTGATGCAGGGTTTCTGTTAAAGCTATTATCTCTTCCGGAGCCACACAATTCACTGTTGTGGAGGATTAACTGTTTTCACCTTCCATATATTTTCCTTAAATAATAATTTTATATTTTCAGTTTTTCTGTCTATATATTTCTGCTATCTGTCTTTTTTCTATCTCCCTGTAAAGCTTTGTAACAGTGCTACATAAATCAATTGTACCCACTTGCTTACTCATAGAAATAGAGTTATGATGGATAACCTTGATTCTACTTCACATAGGCTTCATCCTCAAAAAGCAGGCTTAAAGGGGTTCACAGCCAGATGCTCACATTCCCTGTCGTGACACTAAAGTACAATTCACACCAGAACTGACACGTCAGCAACGCATAAGCCCTATGGAGGCATCCATCCATTCAATCCACACCACCACTGTTATGGCTGTCACTGTCCTCAGAACCATCTGTCCTTTCAGCACCTTGACGACAGCCAACCTTCACCAGGCTGACTAACATCAGAAACACTACCAAACCAATTAGTCTATTCATTGGAAAGTGTAGCTATTTTAAGAAGGTTGCGTCAGAAATGTGTGGAAGTTTATTTATCAGTTTGCCTCCCATTGAGGCTTTTTATACCCATAGAGAAACTGACTCATCGCTGTATGACGCACCAGTGGAAATGTGTGTTATTTAAACAGGCATACGAACAGGACATCACTTGGCAGAGGAAGGTCACATTCAGTTTCAGGTAGCCTGAGTCATCGGACACTTATTGCCACCATGACATCCCTTCCCATGTGGTTTAGTGTCAATTCACCTTCATTTATGTGACTCTGACAACTCTCACATGACTGCCATGTGGTCCTATTTACATATGACCAGGGTGTGAATGACCAAAGAGGTTTAAATGCCTGGGCCCTCAAACCAGCCAAAAGAACTGCTGATGCCCTTTGGGTCTCTATATATAGTCCAGTGGAGAGCTTCAGTTCAATCCGACTCAATGAATGAGAAGAGCACTGAATGTTGTGGTGGAGTACAGAAAAGCTGCCTGTCCATGTGACGGTCAAGACATCCCAACTCAAGGTCCACCAATTATCTTTTCCAGACCCTTTCACAGTCCTCATCAGTGACTGGGGCTCAGGGAGCTCACTAGTTGTTATGATTTTTCCCACAGCACTTTTAGGACTTCTCAAATGTGTTGGCGACACAGTTTGTTCTTGAGCTTGGAAATAGCAAAACAATCCCAACTCAAGGTCCACTTACTAGTTTGACTAAGAATATGGGGGACACCTTATCCTCACTTGGGCTTTAGTCCACAGTAATGTGAGTGAGACCTTGACTAGACATTACTAGAACTGTTAGATTTAAAGGTTTGATTTAACCCGCAGCCCTCTTGGATCAACAAAATACTCAAAATGACAGTAAAAAATCCAATGTACCCACAAACTATACATTTATTATAGTTTAACATGTCATCATCATCATCTGTATACTGTATATATACACATATACTATACACATCCACCTATAAAAGAACTACATTCATAAAGTACTACATTAATCACTCAATATTTCGTCCACTCTTTGCACTCTGCACCATTCCAAACTTGCATTCTTGTTTACAATTTACAGAAACATATTGACTTGTATCTAGACATTGTATGTTATTGGTTTTTATATAGCTATATACACAGAAACCTGTTTTTTCATGTAGGCTACTTGTATGCACATTAGTTCTCCGTTTATATTTAGCCTACCTACTATATCTTTGCCTAGCTTTGTTTTCCTTGCTTTTTTAACCTTATCTCCATTCCTGCCTTCCTGTAAACTGTAACATTGAGAGCAACTTAGAACTGGAGTATATACGCGTGTATACGTGCAAAATAAAATAGATTCAGAAAAGATTTGGACTGTCAATATTTCCAAAAATGCTAGAGTTACATGCAATTACCTATGTCACTGAGTTAGAATCTCAATATCAAACCACCTTAGTCACATTAAGTCAGTTTTCAGCATGATTCAATTACCTCGTCTCACTTTTCTCATGAACTCAGTGACATTTCAAACCCTTCCAACAGAGAGGTCAACTTTTTGGGACACACAGACACACTTTCTTACCATGCTGCAGAGCCTGCAGTACTATCCTGCCGCCCTGTGGCCTGACGAGGCATCACCAGCTTAAGTTGCACCGCTGCGTTTTACTGTTTCCGCAATTATGTCCCTCGGCGGCACCCGTAGACTTACAGTAAAGTCAGACGTGTATCTACGCGTCAACGGGAAGTTTCCTACCACACAGCTTGAGGAAGAACAGTCCTATGAGCCATCGCTTGATCGCAGCTCGTTTGAGACAATCTACTAATGAATTCAACAGAGGATGTCATCCGACTTAACGTTAGACTTCGAAAATCACCAACAATATCCTGCGATGGACACTGAGGCAGGCATCATCTCCATCGACCACGGAGGAGAGTGGGGTAAGCGTCGGTCAGCTACACCTTCTAGAAAGTCTGACACAGAGAGGCAGAGGTAGCTAACTTAAGCACTTGTTAGGGTAACAGCTATAAGTCATGAAGGTGGTGCTGAAAATACAATTTGTGACAAAGTTGCAATTTCAAAAACACTCGCAAATACGTCTGAGGTCTGAAGTGGTACTGTGCTGTTTCCATACGCTGCTGCTAGCATCCAGTTAGCATTGGCTAGCTGTGTGTGATGTGATGATGTAACCTGCCGAGTGTGGATGTAATGTAAATAATAAGCAGCGATATGGCTGCACACACACTGTATACACACTGGACACACACAGTGCACACACACTTGTCTAATACAGACACATGGTTGCTCTACACTCATTGATCACATTATGGTGAATAACTGTGCTGGAAAGATGGTTTGCTGCTCTTGTTTTGGAAGAAGCTGCAAGCTGTCAATTTGTTTTTCTCCACCCTAAATGCTTATATTTGTAATAATTAATGAATTAATCAAAAGTTTAATCTGACTGGATTTTTTTACCTTGGAAAAATAACAAACATGTACACATTTAGTAAACTAGAAGAATGACGATGATAATAAAAAATAATGCACCAATATGGGAATAAGTTATGTTGACCTTTAATGTTGTTATTCTCTCTTATGCTTCAGTTACAACACCTTGTTTGCATGCTATTATATTTTATTTCATGTTCATGTTGAAAATGTATATAAAAATGATTCAGTGGATTTTTGTTTCATATTCCAAGGTATGATTAGTGGTTAGACTTAAACTGTGCAATGGTCTAAGAGTAGTTTGACTTGATGTTTTGTTGTCACACAGATATAAGCCTGTTTGATGAGCTAGACAACCTGGGAGATGCAGATGAGCTACTTGAGGCCCTGGAGAATGCTGGCTATGTGAGTTACTCATCCTCTCAATATGCAAAGGAGAATTGTTGACTGGAAGTGAAAGTCTTATGTGAAAAGTATGCAAAATTGTGAAAAACTAGACATTTGCCTGTGGTGCAGAGATGCAGGTGCATCATGATCTAACATTTTATGTAAGGACATGTGATACAGAAACCGCACCATTGTGTAGTTGTCAGGCATACTGTAGGCAACAGCAAGATTTTTTACAAGAGTTTTATTGACTGCTTCTTGCACACTTGCAGTTCTCCGCCCAGTGCCCCACTGTGTTTGACACAACAAGGCAGAAATGTAGTAAAAAAATATGCATGTGCACATTGCTTGAACTGTTGGCCAGACATTATTGCCTTATTGTTTCCAATCTGCATTCCGATGAGCTTCATTGTTTAAAAAATATGTGTTTGGTTTCTCAGGCCACTGAGGGTCCAGATCTGGACTTTGATATCGACATACCGCTGTGGAATGGAGTGGACACAAGCAGCATCTGCACAGGTACAGAAACACGTGTTGACGTCTGTGTAAACATGGTTATTACATTTTAACATGACATAAGCTGAGCTTTACTAAAGAAAGAGTCTGATGTCCATCTGTTTAATATTTATATGCTCTAACCCATGTGATGTGCTTTTGCATTGTATTCTGTGGCAATTTGACAGAATATTGTCATGTACACAGTTGTTGTTGTTGTGCTGCATGCAGCTTTAAGTGTAATATTTACTGTCAAGGAAATGAAATTAACAATAAGGTTACTTACTTATTATTTTCTTTAGTTACCTTATTCATGATGGTTACTTGATGTACTATATTTCTTAAAGAAATTAGGGAGATTATGACCAAATATATAAATATAACCTATTAATTAGGTAATGTTAATGAATAAAGGATATAGAGAGGGTGTTAGTGTTGAGTTTGTGTGTGGGAATGCACAGGGATAGTAAACCACATCTATCTGATGCTGATAAGCCCACATATGACACATTTTTCTGCGTCTTTGTCCTTGTGTATCCAGGTGGCGAGATGAGCCTGGACTCTCTGTCACCTGCCCACACTCTGAGCTCTGTCCCCTCTCCTTCTTCTGTGGAAGCCCTGTCGCCGTACTCCTTACAAGTAAGTCACTGTTTTTCAACTCTTTGTCCTTCTCAGTTTTCGGCGGTTGACTTGTATTTCCAATGCAAATTTTTACCTTTCTTATTTGTTGTGAGAATTTGCATACGCGCCCCTGTTGGTGTGCATTTTCCCATCCAGATGGTGTCCAGACATTGACAGCTGCTCTTTGCTTTTGGATAGCGACGCACACGTGCACACTTGAGACACTTATTAACAAAAGCCTTAAACACCTTGTCACACTAATAATTTGCTGCTGGTCTGAGTTGTGCCCCGCCCCCTCGTTAAATAAAAGGTGCTGACAACTTCAGCCACATTAGCATAATTTAGCAGACAGATGTTTTCGCAGTATGTCAAAACAAGGACATGGGTTACATCTTTGTCTGGCCCCAACGCCGTCTGCACACGTTTGACTGATAACTGAATCACCCTGACTGAATTCAAGGACACATTTGTCTGCTACAGTCTTAGACTATATTGACAAGGACACTTGATTCATCTTTTATCTGATGCATCTCACTGCACAGCAACTATTGTACATGTACTGTAATATATAGAGTTGACGTTCTTACTCTTGCTGAACAGGACTACAGTCATATTTCATTAGACAGTGTTCTCTAATTTCTTGTGGTTTGTTGATGACTGGTACAACTGCAGGCAAGCATCATGATCCTAAAGCTACTCCCACATAATGGTCTCATAAGTAGCCTATTTGGATGACTATGCCAGGCTGAGTCAGTGTTGAGTAGCAGAAATCAAAATAATTCAAGTCTTGTAGGAGTTTACTACATTTCAGGTGTCCATTAAAAAAAGAGGTCCAGTATCTTGAAGATACAAGTCTTCTCTGCTTCCCCATCCAGGATGAGGCCCTGTCTCCACATTCGCAGCTCTCTCCTGTTTCAGTCTGCTCGGACTCCAGCGGTTTTTCTGTAATCTCTCCTCCAGCTAAGAGAGCTCCAAAGAGGACCAGTCAGACCACACGAGGTGAGGCAGCCTCCACCACGGGCACATCTGCTCGTTCAGCTGTCATCTATATTTGTACGCTTTGTCCAAAAACCAGGGGAAATTCTGCACCGCATTTTGGCTTTGCGGAATTCTTGAATATGATCAACCAAACAAAGAGATATAGAAGTGGTCTCTCATTAAAAAAGAAAAAAGATTTGTAGAAGGAAAAACTAGCTTCTTAAAAAATACCCTGTTACTGTAAATAACTGTAAAGTCAGCCTTTCTTTGTACTTTGTTTCTTATCTCACTCCTACCCTCATCTCCTTCCACATACAGTCAAACAAGCTCAGCCAGTCAAGAGGCCCATTCAGATCGGCCCGAAGGTTTCCATCCAACCCAAACCGCTGATTACAGCTGTGCCCTTGGCTCATGCGGCAGCTCCCCTGCAGGCCAAGACAATCATCATTCAGCCCCTGCAGACCACTACGCTGCCTGTGGTCAAAGCAGCTCCGGTCAACATCCAACCAGCTCCCCCTCCAGGTCAGAGCTCACACTGCAACACATTGAGACACATTTCCTCAGATAACACTACATTGCATCAGAGCAGTGCACTGGGTATATAAGCAAACAGCGTGTTGTTCTTAGCAAGCGGTGTGTTGTTCTTAGTGTTATTCGTTTTCATTTAGAGATGACATGATATTTGTATTGCTTGTCGTTTCTGATGAATTTGGTTGTTTTTCTTGCTTAGATAATAATTTAATTGTGGTGTCTTGGCCAGCAGATGGTGCTTTAACCTTAGTTTTTCTCATCAATGATTTTCAGTCCTCAGTGTCCCATGTTACTCTGCTTAAATGAGACGTTTCATGAGAGATTCAACATGTTTCCTTTTTGCATTCCAAATATTACATACACACATTTGAGGAAAAAAACAACACTGGGAATCAGTTGAATCAGAATGAAGTTTGTTTATAACCCACACATACCCAAACACTATTTATGCGCTGCTGTGTGATTTTGTGGGTTTCATGCATTAGAGGCAGTATTGTGTTGTTTTTGTGGTTTAGCCTGCCTGGTTTACCGATCTGGTCATCTCTAGGTGTTACATCAGCAGCACCTAGGCCAATGTAAATACTTATGTCATTGCCTGGGACCCGAGTGGGTGGAGTATCTGACCTCTCTTGACTTGAATTTGAGCTTGGCTTTCCTGTCTGCCCGGTAATAGCCAAGATGGCAGATGGCTAGGGACCAGACATCCAAGTTTAGGACCCCAGATGGAAGTCAAGTCAAGCCTGCTCAGTGTTATGAGTCTCCTTTTTTAAGATCTGTGCAATAGTCACAGCTAAGGAGTGAGCCCTGTACATCAGGTCAGTAGAAGAAAGGAAACGGAAGATATTTACTGATGAGTTCACATTTTATAGAGTCTGACCTAGGCGGTCATGTATTTCCAAAGAACAAATAGTCTGAGGTGTTACCAAGGCTTTTTTAATTCTTCTTTTGACTTTCATCCTCATGAATTCTTCTTACAGATGGTGAGCTTGGGCACAAGACACAGCGTTGGCACCACACACATTCATTAGCAGGACTGGCTAACACTTCTACTAGATTAGCACTGACAGGCTGTTTAGTATTGGAGGTGAAGGTTGCTAGGTCAGTATGAGGAATGGTTCCTGGCACAGTCTTACTGGGAAGGGTGGGTCACACTCTGGGAGGCTCCTACATTAACAGGACACGTATAAACATGGACAATATCGTGTTTTGTTGAGTTTTCTGCTGGCTTCTTTCTTTCGTGCCATAATCGATTTTGAATGCGGGCGCACGTGCACATTTATGTGTGTTCATGCCCATAAAACTCACACACCTCTCTGTTTGGAATGTGGAAGTTTAAGACCACGGGTCAAGATGGTAAACATCTTTTCCACCTGTACTTTAAACACAGAGACTCCTGTTAAAGACAAGGGGTTAATGTAGGTCACCAGGTTTGGGGGGGGGGGGTTCAAGGAGCTGGACTGTACCATCTGCAGCAGGAGCCTCTTTCAACAGCAGACTGATGCTTCTTCCAGCTTGTATAGAATATTAGTTTGAATGTTTGTGTCATAGATGGCATAACACATGTGGGCTAAAAACATAAACACAAAACTAAGAACAAACAGACTCATAATCATACAGTAAAAATATGATTATAGTATAGCTGAGACCTGTAATTTGAAAATGTCTATGTGTTCTCTTTTCAGGACGTCCCATAGTGCTGTCTCAGCCAAGCCAGGTGCTACAGATCCAGGCACCGCAGGCCGTCACCAGCAATGTCGTCACCATGCCAACAATCAGACAGGACAGGCCCGTCCCTGTCGCTGCTCCTTCAGTTGTCTCCCTCACACTCCGAAGCCCTTCGTCAGACGATGATGTGAGTCCTGTCCACGTGCTTTATCACTTATGTCTTCCAATCTGTCACATTGTTGAACTGAAAATATAAGATATTAACTGAGATATTAATACAGAGGACTGTAGATGAGGAAGAGAACAGATTAGTGCTGCTGCTGCCTTTGTTCAATGTGTCATTGGCTAATGTCCACTTGCCAAACAATGAAACACTGCATAGGGGATTAAATGCAAAAATAAAACTGGTAGTAATTAAAAGAATATTTTAATATTCTTGATTGGTTGTAGTTGAATAGTGACATTTTTGGGATGGATGTAGCGTGCAGTGGGCACTAATGCTACTCCATTTTCAAGGCTGATTTACTTTTGTTCCTTTTTGCCGTGTACAGAACCTACAGTCTGCTCCCTCTAACTTTCTACTGTATGTGATTACTTGTTGTGTGTGTCATAGATGATTACACACATAAATGCTGCCATTTAAACATCGTTCTATATATGTTAAACACCCCTATGACACGTGATTTGATCAGGAGTCCCAGAATTTTTTTTTAGGTCGCTGACTTTGCCTTAATTAGTTACAGCCAGCTTGGTCTTGAGGGGACTTGTGTTTTTCTTAGGTTACATGTTTGTTTACTGAGAAATCAAGTCAGTAAATACAGGTACATACACAAAGTTAAGTAGTGTCATGTTCCCAAGCCCTATAGGTCTAGGTCTAGGTCTAAATGGCCATCTGTTTGTGCAAACAAAATTTTGTCTATGCCTGTGTGATTTAGCAACACACATGAATCTAATTAGTACCACTGTGATTTGCCTACTCTCAGTGGAAGAATATCTCTCTCTCTCCTTTGTATTTCTCTCTCTCTAATCTGTAGGAATTTTCACTCCCAGGTTCTTCTTAAAGACATAGACTTTAATTTGCCTAACTAAGAATGTGTCCAACCAATTTATTAGATGAGACCTCTTCACGGGACTAAATAGTTCCTTCAAGAGTTGTGTTTGTGTGCATGGACATGTGAGGACCTGCCTGTGTGCACTTGCATGCAGCTGCATGCTTATGAGTAGCCGCATGGGCGTGCATACACTTGTCCATTAGTTAACTATGATGTTGTGGTTGCCATGTTCACACTTGGACTGGATCCTGTCCAACATAAACTCTCTTATTTGACTCTATTTTTAGTATTTATTTTAATTTCACAAGCCATTAACTTTAATTTCTGCATAAAACCTGAACATAAAGTGTTGAAGTAAAAAGTTTATCCTTTTTTTTTTTTTTTTATGATGGTGAATGTTTTTTTCCACACTGAAGGATATGTTTTTACACTGCATGAATCAGTCTTTAAAGACATAAATGACACTTCTCTTCTTAAGTGAATACATGATGAAACATTTTTTTATTTGGGGCCAAACTCTATGACATCAAATTTAATGATTTTCACTTTTTAATGGAAATATACTTCCTGTTGACTTATTAAGAGTAAAAGATACAGCAACAAGCTCAAATAAGGTGATAAGGTGCCAAGTTTTAAACATGCAAATGGCTGTTTTTTGTAAATAGATTTATTTGTTACACTTATACTTTAAGAAGAGGAGCCTCTGCTTGATAGTAATTTTTAAAATGATGTTAGAATAACCCATGAACATCTGTGGTTTTCGTAGAATCACAAACAATCCACAGATGATCATTATTGGTCTCTGCTTTGTTTGTACCTGTGGGGTTTTATTGGAAAAATGTACGTTCAGAGTGCGAATGGTGTACGAGGAACTCTCCATGTGGATGACGGAGGGTGGATCCTTTCGTGTGTTGCATTCAGGGGTGATGTCAGGACAGCTGCAGTGAACAGAAGACACACACACACAAACACGCAAAGTTAACACACAGCCTCATGATCTTCAGTATTTCTCCCTCACAAACTTGTATCTTTTCTGTATAATGACAGCAGAGGACAGGACAGGGCTGCAGGGAATCGTGTAAGGTACTATTAAGTGCAGGAGGGACTGCCCCACAGATTTAAAAGTTAGAAAACAAAATTCAATTATAGTATGTTTTGTTTATGTTACAAGCTTCTGGTCTCACAGTAAAAGCTCCCCATCTTTTGTTCATGCTGGTCTTATTTTTGGTAGGAGAGCCTGATATTATTTTAAAGACCTGCGGTTAATTTGCTGGCCGGTGTTTCTGATTCTCTTCTCTTTGTTGCTTGACTGAACTGCAAACGCTGTTTCTGCTAGTCAGCCTCCATCACAAAGTCAGACAGATACCGAGGCTTTCAACTGCAGTGTTGTTTCAGGCTTCGGTCCCCAGCATGACTTGCTCTTGTTTGACCTTTTAGTGAGTTGAGAAACATGTTCTCACTCTGTCTTCTCTTCTGTTTGTTTCTTTTTTTTTTGTGAGCTGGACTTTCACAGTGTTTTCCCATTTGCCATCTAGCTCAGATGTGCAAGTGAAATCGCAAAAATGCACCATTGTTCATAAGGGTGGCTTTTTTAATTCGGGAGAACCACGTGTCACATTTGTGGAATTTCCCCTAAATCATCTGCAGGGATTTCTGTGGTGACACTGTGACGACCACAGATAATTGATCAAATTTTCAGCTATTACCTTCTTATAGGAATAATCACTGTGTGGCACTACCCATGTGCATTACCCACAAACGCAACAAATATTAGTCATAACCTGATGTCACAATGTTCTATTTTACCAGTGTGCTCAATTTATTTTGACATTAATGATGTTTTCCATCAGGCTTTTATAATGATTAACCTCAGCGGAAATTTTTACAAGTGGTTGTTGTTTTATGAATGGTAATGGTTGACCTCTGGCTGTAAAAATAGTCGGCCCCGAGAAGGGCCTGAGAGGAGCTTTTCCAATTATCATGGGCATAATCAAGTCTGGAGAAGCACTTTTCATGCCAGACCTCGTGAACAATGTTGAGGAATTCCAAACCCTAGAGGCCAGAACAAACGCGCCTCTCAAGTCAATAAAGTTTACAATAGTGATTAAAGGGGAGGGGCTGTACATATTAATAGTGAGGGGGACAATAGAATGTTTTTGGAGTGGAGGCCTCCATTAATTACTGAGAGAAAGAATAGTGGAAGTTGATTTTAAGATGTTTTAATGAAGGTGGGAAAAAATATTTATATTGCTTATATCAGCTACTTGATGATTTAAAGGACTAGGGTGGTGAAGTTTGCCATCAACTGCATACAGCTCACCTTCAAAGTGTGTTGGATAAACTAAGGTGGTCGCAAAAAATGAAAGGCCCTATCAAGAGGCAGTGTTTGGTTTATTTGTTCTAGGCTACTGTAGAAATATGGCTGTTCTACATGGTGAAATACATGGAAGAGGACCCGCTTTCTCTGTAGATAAAAACAGCTTATTCAAAGGGAACAAAAACACGATTCTTGTTCCCAGGTGATTATACACTAAAGAAAATCTATGTAAAAGATAGAGGAGTATCTATGAATATTGTATTCTATTTCTGCCTATAAATCCTCCTAAAATGTTACACACTGGACTTTTTAAATTGAGACTATGTCAGTTTAAATAAGGGCCACTGCAGTCACAAGTGACACTTTTGTAGTGGTAATAATGGTAAATGGTAAAACGTAGTGTAACGTTTGTAGTAGAGAAAAGTCAGTTGTTAACATTAGCCACCACAAGCTACTGGTCATACCAGAACAAGTAAGGTTGTAGCAGCAAAATCCCTGAGTGTATTAAAGTTAGTAAGGATGCATTTTAATGTGTATAGTTTTGGCTTTTTCTTCGTTAGAAAGAGAATGTGTTATTTAATCTTTCAAGTTACATAGTCTTGCTTTAAATGGACTTTAGAGTGCTTTCCATGGTCCACCGAGAAGCTCTTGATCTGTGTCATGCTGTGTGAGTGTTCGAACCCGCTGCAGCTGTGTTCACTTTATAACCCTGCTGTGGTTTGGCTGCAGCACAGTGGTGGACATGGTGGGCTGGGGGTTGTGTAAAATGCATGTTAAAGATGGCATGCTATTGCCAGGTGTTTCTGCATGTTGTTTCTACTGTATGTCTGTGTGTATGTGTGATGGTGTTCACTGTTCATGTTTTTTTTACTAGTACTGCATTTTGTGCTATTAGTAAGCTTCTTCGGCGTTAATAACGGCTTCTTACTGACTTACATCTCTATATCATGCAGGGCGACAGCATTATTGTGACAGCTGTAAACAAGCTATCATGGATTGGGTCACTGTAATTATAATGAGCTCCTAACAACTGGGGATTTGGTCTGGTTGTGCTGTCTTGTGTGTGTTGTGTGTGGTGTGTTTGTGTGTTGTGGTTTGTGTGTGTGTGTGGGGTGGTGTGTGTGGTGGTGTGTTGGTTGCGCGTGGTGGGTGTTCTTTTTTTGTGTGTGTGTGTGTGTTTCTCCTTGGAATTGGCAGTCCACTGCAACAAATCTTCCCATTAGTAGGATTGCGGGATTTACAGGAGGGGACCCCAGGAAAGCGTTGTGTGATGCTGGTTGGGAAGGGGTCTCCTCTCTCCAACGCAGAAGATGAGGCTTTTATGTCTTTAAATTGAAGTGCTCATATGAGTTAAATAAAAAATAAAAAATCACCTTGAGAGAATTCCAGGAGAGCTACAAGGGAGTTTGATTAAAACCATTACAGCTCTCTGAAACGTGACATCAGGATTCCTCTCTGTTGACTCACTATTTTGCCTCATTATTCAACACTCATACAGGGAGAAAGCTATGATAGATGCTAGGCGTGTAACAACATTGTATCTGGTTGTTTAATACAAGGTTCTTAATTGAATACACCCAGCGAACGGACCATATGATGGGTTGAAAATCTGCTCCATGGACTTCAAGCTCATGTTTTTGTCTCCACATCTGGTTGTTTTTGTCATAATGTGTAAAGGCTGCTTTTGTGCAATATTAAACAGCAGGAAAACTACTGTAAATACATCACACAAAACTCTACTGTTTTGTTATAAACGAGACCCTGCTGTAATGTTAACGGAAGTGTGAATTTTGTGATTCGCTACAGCCATAAAAAAAAACAGCTTCTTCACTAACAGACGGCTAAATACCACAATGCAAAAACCGCCACAAGACATCAGTAAACTGGAACAACATGCTCTCTTGCTTTTGCTCTGCACCTACGGGTTTAACCGACAGCCCTTGTGGCAGTTAAAGTTAGGGTGAGTACACCAAAAAAAGTGAATTGCAGCACAATATAGCTCTTAGAAAGAATTCAACATCACAGGTTGACAGTTTTTTTTTCACCAGTGGAACACATGCCACAGTTATAGGTGTTTATGACCTACAGTAAAATAAGGACACGTTTTCACCTGACCTTGTTAAACCCCACTCCCATTTGGAAAGGTTAATGGTTCATTACACACTTCCTCTTGGAGTAACCCTTTGGTTGCTGAATGGAAAGAGTAGAATCCTCAACAGCAGTGTGACAGTTAGGCATGCTGGGATCTGTTGGCTTGTCAACTCTTGTTTTTTCTCGTCACCTGTATTCATCCACTGAAGAGTTGTTCATGGGCACCTTTGCAGTTAGTTTTTTTCTCACTGACTTTTCCCATCAGCGCTTTAATAGTCTGAGTTTGAACCAGTGGACGTGTTTCCACCCATTCAAGTGAGATTGTGATTGTGAAATGCCACTTTTTTTGCCCCCTGCCCCACATTTTCCTCCTCAGCCTCATTTTGGTGGCGATGTGAAGTTCCCCCTGCTCTCCACTCCCTGGTAACTGCTTACTTGCAGTGTTCCCAGGCTCGGGTTAGTGGCACGGCTCCCAGATCTGGGCTGGGAGACAGAGGGGTTTCTCAGGAGACAGAACACAAATACAGGGATCCAAATAACTTAATCACCAGCGGGGCTATTAGGTCCAGGATCTTAGAGGCTTACCCTGGTGTTTGTGTTTGAAGAAGGGCAGTAGAGGGGTAGCTAGGGACTGGATGGTCAGTGAAGGTGTTAATAACCACAGCCATGGGTTGTGTATTTGCGAGGGGTCATGTAAAGATATGCACTATTTGAGTTCACATGCAGAACTTTAAATTCAGTTCTCATCTCACTGGCTTTGAGTCGAAGAAATCCCATTGTTTATTATTGTTATTATTGTTTTAGTTTTTTGCTTGTCATTTCAGGGGTTTGTATTATTTTGTTAATCAAACTTTAAATAAACAGAAACAAAATTCTAAATATTGTCTATTTATTTACAAGTGTCTAAGACACTAATTACAATTAAAACAACTGAGAACAACTATGGCTGAACTTGTTTTTTTGGTTTTTTTTTCACATCCAGACCTATAATATATATAGTGCCTCTGTGTTTATGTGTCTCAGATGTGAACCCATTCCTCAAAGAGTGACAGCCTCCGTAAACACATATTTCTTCACATTTAGAACAGAGGCATCGCGAGTGACCTCTAGACCTCTCGTAGGTTGTCAGTGTAAATATTGTCAAGCAGAAGCTTGATTGTGTACACTTTAGGGCTGTTCTGGGCGACGTTAAAGTCATGATTTGTTGCAGAGGTGTCATTAACCTCGCAACGCATCTTGAACATGTTTATTTATTATTCTATCACTGTAATAAACTGGAGCATCAGTGGCCATGGTGTTCTCCTGGTGAGAATAACAAAGTCAGCCCTGGTTTTTATTTTGCCGTTCCCCTACCCCTTATTTCCTTTGACACTGTGTCATCTTTTTACTGGGGGTTTCTCACTCATGCCTGTGTCCCCCTTTTCAAACCTCCCCTTCCTTCTTACACATCTTCTTGCAAGGAGTTCCTCGCTGTTGTTCAGTATGCCGCATATTGTAAATCCTGAATGAAACAATTGACAGAGCAAATGTTAAAGCTCTAGTGTGGAAACAGCAGTAAACATGAATAAGAACATATAACACACTGTCCAAAATGTACTGTACTAAGCATGCCTTAAATGTGCATTCTTACTTATCCTCTAGGCGCTTGTTTGGGTGGTTTCACCGAAAAAGATTGGTCAAATGAATGAAAGGACATTTTTACCCAAGTGCCCTTGAAAGTGTAGATAAACATGATGTCACACCAGTGAGAGGAACTTATGATCTACAACCCAACAGGTGGCTCAGGCAGGGTTTTTCATTGCATTCTCAATAACCACCCCTCTTTCCTGTTTAGATAGGTGTTGAGTGGATACATCCATGTATGGATAAATGTGTGACTCGATGTGAGTAATGACCTATGTCAAAATGTTATTCTTATGTCATTTTCTGTCTTTGTCTCCTTCCCGCTCCAGTCGAAGTTGTCCCAGAGGCAGCAGCGCATGATAAAGAACCGCGAGTCAGCTTCCCTGTCTCGGAAAAAGAAGAAAGAGTATCTGCTCTCGCTGGAAGCTCGCCTAAATGTGGCGTTGTCTGAGAATGAGGCACTCAAGTTTGAGAATGGCAACCTCAAGAAACAGCTGGAGGGCCTGCTAAGTGAGGTGAGAAGCCGGACGCCACAGCTCTGCCAATATATCCACACAGCATAGACTGAAGATGCCTGTGCACAATAACAAATAAGAATATTCCACTGCCTTGGCAAGTCTTGAGCGTTTGTTAATAAATCATAGTTGTGATTTGTAGTTTGTAATTTCGTGTTAAATTCGTATCTTTCTTTTCCTGCAGAACACAGTGCTACATGCAAAGGTCCCCAAGAGGAGAGCTGTGTGTCTAATGGTGGTGTTGGTGTTCCTCGTGCTTAATGTTGGACCAATGAGGTGAGCATATGACTCTTATTATGTGACCATGACTCTATCTCTGTATGACTAAAAGCAAAAGAGCACTGATGATGGCAGATACTGTGGCTCAAGAAGATCACTGGTAACTGCAACATATTGTGGATACACAAGAGTTTGATTACTGGAGGAAAACAAATGGGAAGCCCCATGACTCATTGTGGGAATTACGCTTCTCATGTAAGACATTATGCAAAAAACGTTTATTGAAAACAGTGCAGAACTTTTCCCACTGAAGCAACAAACTTACTTCACCCATATTTCTGTTGACAAAGTAATTAAGACATGGGCCTAAAAATGTACAATTGACAAATTCAAAATCAATTGTCTCCCAATCTTTTGTGCAGTTTAGCAATGTTAAGCATATTTTAGATTGTTTTTGGGGCTTCTTATTGCCTTGATTTGAGATAAAGAGAGGGGGGATGATATGCAGCAAAGGGCCGCAGGTTGCAATCAAACCTGAGCGGCTGCAGTAAGGACCCTTTGTATGTGATGTGCACGCTCTACCAGGTGAGCTACCGGGGCGCCCCAGCTAAGACGTGTTTATGTTGTATGACGCAAATTCACTGGTGCTTTGAGCGCCTGCATGTAATAATCTTGTGGTACAATCCAGAATAATTTCGTCCTCATACTGTCCAGTCCAGTCTTGCCTGATTGAAACTGATCTAGAAACCAACGAATAATAGTTTTTCTCCCTGCCAAGTGGCTCTTGTGTGTATATTCCATTCCTCTGTTGTTTATAGGAGTAATGTGAGAATAAGCCTCAAACCCTGCTGGGTTGGGCAGAACGTAAACATTTACCACTTACTAATGTAAAAATAAAATCATTTCAGGCTAACATTTGTTTATGGCAGTTTTTCTTATCCCTGCTCGTAATATTAACGGTGGTGACAAATTAAGATGAGTTATATAAAACTACACAGGGGAAAGAGCGCTGATTCCACCCATCTCTACAGATGGAGAGATTGTGTAATCCCACAAACCCAAACTCACAGGCCACCTCCAACCGTAACGATGAATTCTCTGTTCTCATCTTATAAAAATGTTTATTTTCTCCTGAGAATAACTTTCTCCACAAGGATGCGATCATCTAGTTGCTGGACTTGTTGGCCTTGCAAAAATCTGCGTGCGCTCTGTGCTGGGAATGTGTTCTTAGAGTTGTTCTCTAGAGCTTAAAGATGAAAAAGTTTCTTGGGACCCGTAAATGAGTTTGCTTTTGCAACTTGAGTGATATTCACAGTAGCCAAAAGTCTGTGTGAGTCTGTACCTGTACTCACATCTGTGTGTTTTGTGTCAGGGCTCTCCTTTGGAATGTAAAATATGCTTGCTTTTGAGGTCAGATCCCTTTGAAATGAAAACGCCACCCAGCGTAGTAATACTGTTGAAAGAGGCGGTGTGTATTTTTGCCTTTGTGTGTGTGTGTGTGCCCCTGCGTGGTTTGGCTTATGCAGTCTAGATCAGAGTTCAGATTCAGCTTGTGGCTAAAAACAAAAAAACCCTCCTGTGCACAGGAGGCGGGCCACGTGGAATCTGGCAGTCATTTCAGTCCAGTGCCCAGTTCTTCTTTTCATTTTGTTTCCTCCGTTCTGAGTGTCCTGATTTTACCTCACCTGTCTTCTGTTTCGTCAGTCTGTTTCAGGGTGGCTCCAAGCACGACGTTTATTCCACGGTGCAGCACGGCAGCAGACACCTGTTGAATTTCTCCCCAGAGACAGAAACTGAGGTTGTGATGGGCCCCAATCCCCTCCACAGTGGCCCCTCTGAGATTGCCGACAGGTAATGAGCTCAACCTCCCCAACACCTTTCACAACACAACACCGTGTCAGTGGACCAGGATGCACCTGTGCCTGGGCTCAGTCTGAGCTGGTACAGCTCATTACCGCACGTGTAAACATGTGCACCAGCCGGTTACCAACTCTGTCCAAATGCTGCTTTTCAAACTCCTCCAGGCCCCTCACTAGTTGGCTGGCAGTTGTGCTTTGAGTAACAAGGTGGGAAATTGGGGTCAGGCCTTGTTTGACGTCCAGTTTTATATTGCCAGTAACAGTTTATTTTTCTAAAGGGTTATATATTTTTCTTTCTTTTTTTAACTGCAATCGAGGCCCAGCAATCTCATTTGTAAATTGCATAAATAACATTCTTGTTTGGTACATTACCTGCACCCTGTCCTGAAAATGATGTTTTGCAAGGTGGTCAGAGCGTCTGCGTGGCATTGCCAGCCTGCGTTTTGTCAGATCTCTGTGTAGGGTATGCTACATGTTAATGCAAACCATTCAGCTGTAGTATCAAGTTTCCCACCAGCATTAAACCAGCGCAGGCAGGAAGGAACACATTAGCCTTTACAAAGGGGGTGACAGCAACAAACGCTGCAGAGGGGAGGGAGATGACAGGGGAGATATGCAACCTAATCTTGGGGTCCCACTGAACAGGAAAGGTGTGTGTGCGGGAAAGTTAATACGGGCCCCTCAGCGAGAGTTATGATCAGGCCTGTGCGGTCTGAAATGTTTTCTCATCGAACCATTTCCAGAGCGGTTAGAGACGGTAACGTGAGGCGTCGTCGACGTGTCGGCTAAGATCAGGGAGGCCCAGGGGGGCGGTATTACGTCGATGGTAGACGTTTCGGTAACAAGCCCCTTGCAGGTGGGCACTGACAGTCTACATCATCACCTCAAGCAACATAATCATTCATTGACTGAGGAATAACAGTTGTAATTAAAGTCACACACAACATCTGTGGAGAAAAGTCATGTCGTGCAATGCGGTGTGCTGCTAATCCATAATGTATGTGAACCCACCTTATGGTAACAACCCAGACTGTTAGGCTGTTGTTTTCATCTGTCTTTGTACATAATCAGACTGGATGTGACCAACAGGGTGGTAATGCTCTGTTCTCTGCTGCATGTTTGATCATTCTGGGAAGGATTTATAGCAGCATGTGGTCGAATCGCCTCAGAATCGCTCCACTTCCCCTCTCAGCATTCTCGTGCCTACATTGCAGCGACTGAAGCCCTGCCACCCCTGCACATGCCAAGTATCAAGAATTTGAATCAATAAAGCTGATTAATAACCAATAAAAGTCAACAGGGATGTAACTGTCCCTACATTGAAGCCACGCTTGGGGGGTTTTTGGTGCATTTTTGCTTCCCGTCAAGCCTCTCTGGGTGTTTCACCTCTGTCAGAGGGCAAGCAGCCATGTTGGCTCTCAGTTTGCATTCAAAGCATATTCTCAGCATGTGGAAATTTTTTTAATAGATTTTTATTATGAAATTCTTACATTGATTTTAGAGCATCTGAACAGCCTTATAAAGTTATCACATCTCTTATCTTTTTAACACGCTCTGTCTGCTTCTCTTCTGGGTTTTAGCTCTGAGGATAAGGCCCTGATGGTGGTGAAGGATCCCATCTTCCTCAGACCACCTCCCCCCTGCCAGCCCCCTGTAAACAGGACCAAGTGCCTAGAGTAAGTTCTGAACTCTTAAATGTATGGCCTACAACATCCCTCAGATCCTACCTAAAATGTAAAAAATATTCTTAACGTACGTTGATTGGCAGGTTGGCCCATGAGTTGACGGGTTGGGTCCACCGTCATGAAGTGCAGCAGACCAAATCCAGGCGCATGACTAATGGCAATCACAAACCCACCAGGACCATTCTGGTAAGCAGCATGTTCTGAAAAACAGGAAAACATTTCTAATGGGCCGTCCAGAAATTTAACGTGATGTTCAGTGTTTGCAATAAAGCCTACAAACTAAACTCTTTAGGCCATTACTCTCAGTATAAAGGGTTTCTTTTTTTGGCAAACCAAATTTTCTCTTTCACCACTGTTTCACCTCCTCTCACACCTTCCCTTTTTCTGCCTCTCATTTCTCTTTATTGGGCTGAGTTTAATCCGGCAGCCCTGAGAAAGTAAACATAACACTTAGAGGGGAGCTGTAGGATTAGTGCCCCCTGCTCTGTTTTTCCATAATTTTTTCAAAATCTGTCACAGTAAGTCTAATCCACTAAGAGCTGCCTAGTTCGTATATACCCATTCTTCATTTTACTATAAATACAAATGTAGATGTTTATTTCTCACCTGATTTTAGTTGTTTTAGCCCTACAGACACAGACACATACATCTTCCCAATATTTTAACATGTGAAACTTCACAGTGCCGATCATTGTAAACTTTGGGACTGGAATGTGTGTGCTGATATCTAGATTAAATGATGGTCAGCTATAATATTTTGAATGGAGCCTGTTTTTCTGTGTTAGACAGTGTTCTCTCTCTCTAATGGTTAGTTGAAGCAAATATAAAGAGATTATAACTAATTCTCTCTCATTTTTCCTAACAGAAAACAGAGAATAAGGAGGCTGAGAGTGCCCAGATTGTGACGGTCCAATACACAGAAACTACTGAGGAAAAGTAAGTAAAGGCCTGTTAGAATGAATTTGTGTCAGATTCACACAAGTAAATCATTTTTCAGGTTTCAAATGGTTTCTTCCAAACAATTCCTATTCGATCTTTAAAGCTGCCTTGACAGCTAGAGAATATTCTGTAGATGTCAGAACAAATACACGGCAATTACTACATGTGTGGTAAACCGACACTGTGTTGTAAACTAAAACAGTGAGCTGTAATCTGTGTATAGCTGCAGACAGGAGTGTTTATTGTCCGCTGAAGTAGATTATGTAAAGCAACTGTAGACATAACAACCTTGTATGTTTCATTGTTTTAAAGTTGTATTTGACCAAAGTGGGTCTTTAACTGTAACTGTAATGGGAAATAACATTTCTGCCTGTATATCCACATTACTGGCGTCTGCCCCCTCTTCAGATTTTACAATCTGACCAATTTGAGACAGTGATTTAAAGTTATAACCTTTGTGCACTGCTGCTGAGGTTTGGCAGTCAATAAGAACATTTTCTGCTGGACTGCACCTTGTAGTTTAGATCAGACAGATGGAGTCAATAGTTTTTTTTGGCCACCTACAGTTTTTTTCCCCCCAGTTGTAAGGATATGAAGGCTACAAAATGCTCAAATCTATAGGCCAAAAGAGGAAAAAAAATCAGTTTCAGCAGTAAACCTCTGCAGGGCCACCGGTTGGCCAGAATAAAAATAGAAAACAAACAAGAAGAATTACCATTTCAAGCACGACATCTTGTACACACGTCCCAGACGTATTGCAGGTTGCCCCTTTCCACAAGTTTTGTTTTGGTTTTCATTCTCAGGTCTGTGACCTTCCTGCTGTATACATTATGTTTACAACCATTCATGCAGACCTGGCCACAGCAGTAGAGTCTGTCTTTTAGCCTCCACTGTGTTAAAGCAGTGGGTTGTTAAACAAGGGAAGTAGACTATTGATCGATTATTCTGATAATTGATTAATCTGACAATTATTTTCTTGATTAGACAGAATATAGTGAAAAATACACATCACAATTTCTCAGATCCAAAGATTATTAATTTAAAGGAATCAGTTTACTTTAATGTAGAACAAGGAAAACCAGCACATTCTCATATTTGAGAACCTGGAACCGATACTTTTTTTATGTTTTTGCTTGAAGAATGACTCGTACATTTATTTGATTATCCCATGATTTGCAGATTAATCAACTAGCTGATGAACTGAGTGATAGTTGCAGCTCTAGATGACTGAGATGTTTTTGATGATTCTGATAACTGAATGATCTTATTGTAACAGCAAGATAGAAAGTGTTGCGTCTGTGTTGGGGTTAAACATATCAAATAATATTAGTGTTTTGATAAACATCTGATATTAAAACTGTGTAAAAGAATTTTATCTGCATGAAATTTGCCAAGTATAATACATTTCTCTGGCACCAAAACATTGATTATCAGCACTTGATCAGTGGTATATGTGTCCATTTTGAAACAATGATTGAATCTGTATTTCTCTCCGTTTCTGAATATTTTTGAGTGTTTTTCAGTGTTCCTCAATTTTGTCCTGTTATTGTTTATCAACAGGAATCCTGGCAGTGAGCTGCAGGTATACTACGCACCTCATCACACCTACGGCGACTTTTTTGCTGAGATTAATCGCCGTGGCGACACTTTCTACGTAGTGTCTTTCCGCAGGGTAAGTTTCTTCTTGTCTGGTCCTTCACAATGATTTGAAAGGAAAAACAGCCCCCAGCTCGACACATCATATGACACAGTGGCTAAATTGATCACATAAAGTAAAATTAGAAGAAGTTTCAATGGAAAGGTTTCACAGCTCAACACGGATTCCATTGCATTTTGTGTCTGTTGTGAGATTTCCTTCGCCCAAACTGGCCATCAAAAGCGACAAATTAATTATAGAAAGAGTAACTTATGAGGCATAAATCAGATGTAATAGGTCTGTTTCTCAACATAGAGGCTTGATTTGAGAGAAAAGTGGAGGATGGGGGAGGGAATATACACAGCACAAGGGTGTAACTACCGCTTTTCAGTCCAGTTTCCTTCCTCCACTGCAATCATCAAGACCATGTTTTAGATTTTTAGCCATGACCATATGTCACTGTTAATATACTTGGTCTTTATTCATTTGACCATTTTTCCACATTTGGGACTCTGAACCTGTTTTTAATTTTCTCTCTTTATATGATTAATCTTGGACATCACATTCAGAGAGTTTGGGTCTATTTCTTTGAGTGATTTCCTTTCTTTTCAAAAAAATACATTTTCAGAGTCCCTAATCTTACATCGTTTTGTTCTCAAGTACTAACCAAACAAAAAGAAAACACATTTGCTGCAGCGGAAACATTTTCCCCTTTCCCCATTTATAGTTTGTGTTTCAATATTATAGGAAGTTGCTGCTCCATCTCCATCAGCTCTGCCAAATAACACATTTACTTCCTCCAAAATGAAGATATTTTTTCTTACCAATAACACACTCTTCCAAAGAGCTGGCCCAACCTCGTATCACACTCAGCACCTCTGGATACTTTGGGTGATGTTAAGCCCTTAAATCCTTAGGATTACTCAGTGGGGCGGGAGTTTTGAAGCATGTGGTCAAAGATCAAGACCTCTTGTCACCAAGTAAGTCACAAAGGTTTGGCTCTGAGTTGGCATGGTGACAGCAGGGACAATGGTAACAATGGTGTACCCGAGTCGAGGGCCTCTACAGGTCAAGTAGCTGTCCATCAGTTTCTAGCAGCTATAAGCAGCTGTAACATGAGCAATGAGAGTGTTGTGGTTTATCCAAAGTAAGTTTCCAAAGTTTGTTTCTCAGATTGAAAAATGTAATATTAATAATTCAAAAATGCAAAATGGCCTATCTGCCGCCAGTGTTTGGTTTGTCCGTTCAGGGTTACTGTAGAAACATGGAGAGTTCAACATGATGAACTCCAAGGAATGCAACCAGTGTCTGTAGATGAAACATCTTCATTCTAAGGTAACAAAAACACACTGGATTAATAATAACCTTTTCTGTTTAATCACAATTGAGTACAATAACCCTAACCACTAGGGGAAAATAGGCTTTTAATTATTTTAAAGCTTTGATTATTTTGACATGAAGATGTAGGGCTGCAACTAATATATTATTAATTGTATTAACAGTTATGTCTAAAAATATGAGAAAATAATGGAAAATGGCCATCTTAATGTCTAAAAGCCTAATGCAATGTGTTCTATTTGACTTACAGTCCAAAATTTTAAGAGATTCAGTTTAAGAACACTTAAGAAAAGAAAGACAGAAAATCTTCACAATTGAGAAACTGGAACCACAGATTATTTGGTATTATTGTTTGAAGGAAATTATGTAAACAATTAATCGATTATCACAATTCAGATTCATTTTCCTTCAGTTTTTCAGATTTATGAAAATGTATTATCATTATCTTATATGTTTATTATATTATAATTAATTTTACTCAATTCAAACCAAAGGAAAATATCACAATTTCCTTTACTACACGCCTGCTCTTTTTCAGTGTGATTTTTATAATTTAGTGCTAGGGTGGACTCCTGGTTCTAATAAACAGGAAAGGTCAGAGTAATCAAAGAATCATTATTGGGTATGACAAAAGCACTTTAAGAAGCACTAAACAGTAAAACACAGAGCGTATATTACAGACTTGTTATTCAGTGTGACCTTTATAATTCTTACAGACCTTTGTCAGCTTTTCTCAGGCAGTTTATTTGCCTGTATTTTGTTTCCCGGGTTTCAGGGTGTGTGTATGTGTCGGCAAACACGGGTGTGCTTTTGTTTTTTTGTTCCAGTCAGTATGATCTTATTACAAGACTGCCAAAGCTCTGGATTAAATTTGGAATTTGTTTAGATTGTACAGCCAATCACCACCAATTTTGACTTTTGTCCCTCTAGGCAAAAAAGTTTTCATCATGGCCTGTTCTTGCCCTCGCCAGCACTTGAGGTCACTCTGTACAGTATGTTGCATCCTCCCGAGATGGCCATGCTTAGGTCAAGTTTACTTTATACATTACCACCTGTGGCTTTGTTTGAGTGTGAAGTGAGGTGATGGAAAACATAACAAGACCAAAATATGTAACTGCTCTTACTCTACCGTCGTTTTGCAGTCTTGCTTCGCCTCTCGTGTTATTTTAGCACCTGCGGCTTTATATAAGAGTGCATTTAGGTGAGGTGGTGGAAACACTGGCTGCTTTCAATGTGGACCGTGTCCAGTAAGGTTCAAGGAAATTTCACCTGTTGTCATGGCAGCTGCAGCTGTTATGTGTGCTTGACAAGCTTGTCGGTCCCCTGATGATGAGCAGTAATGTGATTGGTGTTTTCCTGCCACCCTCCAAACACAGTCAAGGCACCTTCTCATTTATTTTTCACATTTTGTATTCCCTTTGGTGGCTCACTTTTCCTCAGGTCTTTACAGTGCCGCGACCATATATCACGCCAAACCATTTATTCTTAAACACTACCAGTGAAAGTACACAAGATTGTTCCTTAGCTCGTAACATTTTAGTGTAATTTTGATGAAGATTTACAAGGCATTATGGAGAACACACTCTTATTTACAACAATGACAACTGAAAGATTTCCTTATATGCTCGGTTTTTCTTAACATCCTCTTTATTCTCATTTACACAAGTCTTTCACACACATTGGTATGTCTCCTCGTATCCCACCAGTCTTCCACATTGCTCCTTCATATCTTCTCGCTGCAATCCCTTTCCCAACCTCATACCATACTCCCGTCTGTCATCACCTTAACACCCCTCATTTTTCATTTCACCCAGGCTGAGTTTTGCAAGCCAAGTATGATAGAGTTAACCAGTTTTTCATGGTTTTCTTGCTCTCATGGTAGTTGGAAAGCCACAAAAAGCTCCAGTTGTGCAGCTGATGGAGACCAAATCATTCAACTCTTCTTAAAGGGGACTCAACCAATTTTACACATGAAGTTTACAGTTTACTCATAATCAGTAGTACTTAGTAGGAGCTTTTCAAAGTTTGAAAAAATAACACTGATGATGTCAAAAGGGTCATCTATTGGGCTTGAGAAATTTATAAGAGAAAGCCTGTGCTTCAAATTGAAGATATGGAGTGTGAAAATGTGCAAATAATGTGCAATAGATGTATTTATTAAATGTTTATTAAATTATTTAAATCATAGCTTTTGAATTTGATAGTGGAGCTACAGTTTAACACCATCATTACTGTGTTTGTGATTCACATGTGTTTGCACATTAACATTCCTCTCCACCACAACTCCTTTTGAGAAGATGTGTTCAGATCAAAACCTTCCCTCTCATTGTCTAATGAGTTGCACAAAAGCTGTTTTTAATAGCTCCAGAAACGGAAGTACTTTGCTGGTTAATTCAGTTTTGATCTCAGACTTCTAGGGAATTAGCAAATGCAAAAAATGCTGCAATTGCTTGAGATGACAGCATTGAAATTAAAATGGTTTTAAGATGATGAAGCAGAAAATGGAAGAAAAAAAATCAATTTGAAGAGTTTTGTGACTAGAAAGGCCCTGATTGATTATGCTTGGACTTTTTAATCTCCCAGAGGACTATTGCATCATTGATGGCCTCAAGTTGTTCATGTTAAAGTCCTTCAGTAGATCTTCTCCTCTGAGTTAGAAACTCTGCTCCAATTCTTGATCAACAGCTGGCAAACGCATGCATCCGACCATTTTATTTGCTTCCAAATTAGTTGTGTTTTCCATTTGATGACCTTCTCTTCTTTGTTCTCAGGACCATCTTCTACTTCCTGCCACCAGCCACAACAAAGGGAGTCGACCCAAGATGTCTGTGGTGTTACCAGCCATGAACATAAATGGTATGTAGTGCAGCACAGACACAACAGTTGGCAAGTTCAGTCACTCAGCACAATGTAACAGATGAGAGGCAAGCTGGGTGCAGATTCAGAAACACGTCTACCCACAAGAATGCATTACTTGTGACCTAAGACACTTGTTAGAAAAAACTTCCCCCGGACCAAAATAGAGCACTTTTCTTTTAAAGCCTATTAAGGTGATACTGATCCTTTTTTCCAAAATCGACCTTGTTGGATCAAGAATTTGTGTTGCCTGTTTAAGTTAATTTAATGTTTCTTTATAGGTTTTCTTTGCCAAAACGTTTCTTTGACATCTGGCATCTTGTTCTCTCTCCCTCCTTCTGAGACCTTTGTGGTTTCTGTCATGCCCTTCAGCCTCTGATTATACTCTCTGTTGCATTTAGCAATCCTGTTAAGTGTCTGTACAGCCACTGACCAAACCACACACAGACAGAAATGTTAAAAGACCAGCTTCAATGTGATCATTTCCTTTTGGCGTTGATTTTTCTTGATTTTTTCTATATTCAAAAATATATTATAAGCATTTAAAAATTCTTTATGCCGGACTAAAAACACAATGTGACCACATCTTTCACTACTTAAATACATTGTTTGAATTCCATCTTCCATAAAACAGTTTTTATATAGTATATTTTATAGGACCAGAAGGGTTATATAGTATAAAGCAACCCAAGAAAACAAAGAGTGTTGCAACTGCACTCTGTTTGTGTGATTATGTGTGTTTGGGGTTTTACACTTCACTTTTCTGATAAATAATGATGAGATATAGTCTACCTTTTCGTAGTGTCATTATGTGCCCTCTCCCTCCTGCTAAATGCGAGTTTTAGCCAGCTACATGCCAGATAGGAGTAGTTTAGCTAAGAAGCCATCAGTGTAACATTTTTATTCCAGATATGTATTTTTGGTCCTTGAGCTCTTGTAAGTGAAAATGTAAGCACTTTGGTTTGAGCATGCCACATTCACTGTCATTGTCGTATGCGATGGCTGCACGATAGTGATGAAAAATCAAAGTACAGGTCCACTTTAGATTATAGAGCAGGGACATGCCTCATCTAGACTTCTTCATTTCCTCTTAAAGAAAACAATTGCTGTCCACAGCTTGTCAGAGTGAGTGGCAATCAGAGTGCTCTTGGTTTGCGGTTTTGGGTGGGGGGGATTTCCACCAGGCCATTTGAGGAGCAATCACCCATTTATTTGATCACCTGCCCTTAAAAACAAACCCATCCAAAACATTTTAACACTGGTATACATGAGGTACGCCTCAGTATCTGAGCACTTTACTGGCAAAAATCTTGGATTTCAATTGGTGCATTTGTTGCCAAATTGTTTTTCATGAATAATTTACACATGTTTTTGATTTCCATGAGCTCATCATAGCTTTTCTCCATGGTCCTTAGATCTGCTGGGTTATCAATACAGTATGTGAAAGTCAGGACATCAGAGATTTGAGTGGAAAGAAGTCTTCTGTCCAAATATCGCAGACTTAATTATCAGATGGCTTGATTTTCAGTGAACTGAAAGGAGACCTACTTAAGAGGGATTGTGCTTATGTAGGGTGTGAGGAAAACAGCCTATTGTTGTTGGCTGTTAACCTTGCCATTATATCAGATATCTCCACATCTTATTCTTCTGTTGCCTCCCTGTCTTGTCTGTGGCAAAGCACCAGAAACAGATTTGATTAGTGATTCAACCAGCTCTGAGAGGGGTGAGTCAGTACTCAGAATGGAAGACATGGCCATTGGGAAATAAGATTTTTTTTTTTCTGAAAGGGCGGTTAGAGATGAAGATTGATGAAGGTAAACATTGTTCTTGGTTGGTCTTGTCAGAGAGGAATGTTAAGGTCTGTGCCTGTCAGATGGCCCATTGAAATGGCAGTAAATAGTGAAATCCAAGACCCCCTTTTCAGCTAATTGTTGAAATGGCCAAACAAAGGTGGCATTCAGGGAGAGATATCGGGTCTGGAAAGATTCTTGTTACTTCAAGAAAAAGGGTCTTCGATTTGCATGATCCGTCATGGATGCCTGACATTGACCACACATTAAAAACGTTGTGTTCTGTTGTGCTTTGTACCAAAAGTATTTTCCTGCTTGTTTCGGACGTTAGCGTGTTTTACATCTATGTTGGCTGATCATGTCGTATCTTTTTAGAGCGAGGACTAACACCAGTTCTATGTTAGCACAGATGCACATACAGTAGCTTCAGTCTCAGATGCCACTACTGCTCCTCTTGGGAATTCCTCGTAAACCGGACAAGGACTGTAGTTAAACAGCAAACCAACAGAGGCTGACATAGAAAAAGGGTTGCTGTTGATTGTCTAGTAGCACAGCACTCGCGTGGTCCTCCTTCTCTCAATATGTAAAGCCCCATGTGTCACACAGATGACGGCCTTCAAGTAGCATTTCAGATTTATGCTGTCTTTGAAACTCTGAAGTGATTAAGTGCAAATGTACATATTTAGCTGGGCGAGACCCTTAGCAAAGCAGAAACACTGTCCTCTTTCTCGAGCACGATTGCTCCACATTGGAACATAATTCTTTCCAGCTCCCTGTTGCTGCTCTCCTTTAGGAATGCCTTCTTTCTCCAGTCACTAAATGGTTTTCATCTGGAGGAGGTGGATAGACTCGGTTAATCTGGAGTGAGCGTTTGGTCTGTCTTGGTCAATAACTGAACATCGAACTTAGAGACTTTGATGTAAGACGTCTTGTGTTTCTGTCTCGCTGCGTGTCCACAGTTCAGGGGCTCTGTTAAAGTTACTTGACCTTGACGTCCTTGATCCTCTCCGAAAACGTATCTAGCTGAGCAGTGGCTCCCCATAAGGACTGAAAGATGTGTTTATTTAATGAGCCTTTGAGTTTGAAAGTAGCTCAATCAAGTAGAAGCGACATGTTTGGAGGAGAGGAATGTTTTGGACATGACATCATTTACAGGTGGATTGAGTGTGGTCTATTTTTACTTCTCTGAGATTGTACATGTGCACTGTAGCTTAAGGGCAGCTTTCACTGGGGGTTCAAGGTAGAGCTCCACACCACTGAAGGAGTTTGGGGGTCAGATTTTCCTACTCCTCTAATCTAAACAAACACCCTCACCAGTGCTCTGAAGAGGAGTGCACTCTCAACAACCCAAATGTTTAACCCTTGCCATCCTTGTAAAATAAATTCCAAGTTGTGCAAGTGATTCTTCTTCTTGCATCAGTAACTTAAAGCTTGATGTAAGCCATTCTAACTACATGGTTCTTCTGTTGTCGACCCATGACTTTGGTACAGACTGAATTATCTCCACAAATATTCCAAAGATTGCAGTGAAAGTTTGTACAGACGTTCATTGTCCCCGGACGATGAATCCTACCGACTTCGGGGATCCCATCATTTTTACCTCTTGCACCACTGTGAGGTTTAACATTAGTGTTTTTTCAGTGAGATTTCTCACCACTATCGTATGGATTGCCTTGAAATTCAGTTCAGACATTCATCGTTTGGTAATGGTAATCTAATTGATATGCTAATTCTAATGGTTTTCTATTGGTAAAACATAACTTTATTAACATTGGCTTGTGCATTCTATTATAGAGCATCCTCACTGTTCATATAAAAAAATAATAATAATAAAAGATGAACATATAGACAGAATTGTATGAATCTGAATGATGGTTGTATTGTTAGGTTGCATATATGTTTTTGCCTAATGGACATCCTATTAGACCCACATTTATTTTTATTGACCCAAATCATGTCTTGTGATTTTGTGATTTTACTTGCTGATGAATTGCTTCCTTTCTGATATTAACAAAAGCTTCCCTCATGAACATGTCCTCAGAGTTTGTGCCAGTCTGGCAGCCACCATCCTCCCGAGATGCACTCTCAGGTTTCGTCAGATGCGTCGTTGCCAGACATGGTTTTATCAGCACACACCGGCTCACTGTGTCGCTGAAGCTTTCTGGAACATCTCCAGATGGCACTAGTAAAAGGGGGAAGGAGACCACGCAGAGCAGGATGGTAGATTTGGCAGCTTCTTCAAAGTGCTGCTGTTTGAAGTTGGGGCTCATAGTTGTGTGTTTCCTGCTTGAGTGTTCAGGCTTTTCAAGCAGTTGGCTGAATACAATTTAGACATTTCACTAATTTGGTGAAAGGTGGATGTAATCAGTGCAGGGAATTAAATGTGAGTCTTCACTTTGAATAATGGTTTAGATTGTGGCCCACAAATTACTGTGTAATTATTTAGTAATTATTGGGTACTTACGAAATAATGAAGGCGTCTAGTAATCTCATTAAGAGTTAACAGAAGATAAAGTCTCAACAGAAAGAGGTAACAACTTAAAGCTGATATGGCGAACATGTTAGTAAACAGTTGCCTGTGTACACATCCAGCAGACACAGGGCAATATTCATATTCAAAGACTTAAAACCTGGTGAATGTCCAATATTCACTTTCCTTTTATCTCTGTTTTGGTCTCCATCATCTCCTGAGGTAAGTAACTGTCTCTTTAGCTGCTAAATGCTCCGTTATGCTCACCAGCTTTTCCAATATCCAAATGGCAGAAGCTGCAATTTTTTGATAAAGGTGAAATGTTAAACAAAACAGCATCATAATAGATAGATAATAGATTCCCTGGCCTACAAATCTTGTTTTTCAGAGAAACATGTTTGTTTACAAGCCACAAATAATTTTACATCGTGATAAAAAAAAAGAAAATTAAATTTGTGACCATATAATCTTGAATCTTATATCACAATATCTGTCAAATAATTGCAATATGATTTTCGTACAGTAATGTACTGTAATGTAGTTGAGTCGTAAGTACGCAGGAAAACTGTAAAGTAGCCCACTGGAACGGCTGATTTACAGATTTAGTAGGTTAACTTTGTATGTTCTTCAGTTGGTCACCTTATAGTTAAGAGGATTTGACTCACTTGATCAGTAATTGATAAGTAATTATGAGTGCAAAATATGCGCGCTGTAATACAAAGCAGTGTCTGTTCTCTTCTTTTTCTGTGTGCTTCTGGAGTAAGGTCAAGGTACACTGACTTTAAAATTGCAAAAAATAAAATTACAAAATTAAATAAAGCTAACCTTGAAAGGATTGGCAAGCTCACAAACCCACAGGGTGCTTTCACTACCCAAGACTGATGCCTCCTGCCCACTGCTGCATCTCTGCTCAGTTTTTTATAAAGCAGCTCATTAGTTATTTTGAAATATTTTTATTCAAAGACTTCTTGCTTTGTTCTTCTGTGCATTTTTTAATTTTTTTCTATACATCCATCCTAATTTGCAGAATTTCCATTATATTCATCTTCCTCGTGTGTTTGGATAATGCATGTGACACGTTTCCACTTTGTGCTGCCTATCTGTTGGACTTCTTATTGGAATGAAATAAGCTAAGTGGCGGAAAAGTCAGAGCAGTTTATTTTGAACTGAACACATTCCACAGGCTCGACTGAGTAGTAATGACAAGACCTTGAACCAAGGAGGAAAAACTCAGTTGTGATCTCATCAAGTTATATGGAGATGCACAGAGAATAAATTTTCCAGCTCTGCTTCAGGCTGAAGCCTAATTTGAGATATTCATAGCGTGACAAAGAGCAAAATCCTAACCCAGTGGATGATTTCCAGAGATGTCTGTTCAAACACTGTAGCCATTTGAAAAGTCCCAGTTTCACTGCAGGTGCAAAAGAGGAAGTTAAGCAGCAGATGAAGTCATACTCAGCGTTACGTCTACTAACCATCTAATGATATGAACATCCGTGGAGTCTTCCGAAGAGGCTATTGTATTAGGACTGTTCGATCTGATAAACTCTTAAGTATATGTGCATGGAAATCCTGCAGAGAGACAGAAGAAGCTGATGTCTTGCACAGGTGTCTGGAAAAATACGACAGCTTTTAAACAACTTCCAGCACTCTCAGGCATTTTAAAGACACCTATAGCTCCATTTCTGGGTCATATATGAGTGCACTAAAACTGTGCGCTCCATATGGGGAATGTTGTTATCGTCTTGACTCTCTCGCTGACATACTAAGGAAGCCACGAGTCTTTAAGTTGTCTGTTAATGTAAATACACAAGGGATCCCTCAACATGTTGTTAATGGCTTTTTCTAGCAAAGAATTTCACAAGCGTGTCCACTTTAAAGGATCTTCTTCCCCCAGGCTGAGCAAAGTTAGGCTGTGGGAGACCACAAACCACGAACCACACCACTGACCTAGGTCCAGCATCTTTTTCCAAACTTGAATTTCCCAAGATAAAGCCAGAGTAATTACTTTGTAGGTCAAACATCAGGAGGACCTTGTGAAAATGTATTTATCTTTGATAATGAGCTTTGTGTTTATCATCGTACCGTACACCATCTGTGGTGTGTTGGGGTTTTGTCAAACACAATAGCCTGACTCCTCAGCATTGATCACTTTTGTCCCTCGCTATTGCCAGAGTTTCTTCTTTTCTTCTCTGAAGTCAATGAAAAGCTTTAAAGGATCCTGACTCATCATCAGTGATCCCTCTTTCTCTCTCTCACTTTCTCTCTCCCACACTCTTGCCAGAGTTTCTTCTTTTTTCTTCTCAGATTTACATGTCCTGCTCTTGTTTAGAGCTGTTTTGTTTATCTCTATGAAGGAGAAATCCAGTATGTGACTCACCTCTGGACTCAATCTGTAACCCGGCCTCCATCCCTACTTGTGAGGTTTTCAGACCCCCAACTGCTTCAAACAGTTCTCCTTTACCCTCCCAAAATATCATGTTTTCCTACAAAAAGAGTGACGAAAAGACTGCCAATAATAATGAGGATGAAGGCAGTTTTGTGAACACTATCTTGAGCTGATTAAATCTTTTGCTGATGGTGAAATTAATCTCCAGTAACTTTATTTATGCATTTATTGATGGATCAAGACTTAAGCTTCCGCTTTTTTCTCCCTGCTTTTACAGACAGCATCATAAGGGACAAAGATTATGAGGTGATGATGCAGATTGACTGTGAAGTAACGGACACCAGGATCCTCCACATCAGGTCCTCCACCATCCCACCTTTGCTGAGGGTCAACCGCACAGACACGTTTTACCAGCACTCCGCGACTGACAACCAGGCCGCACCTCCTGTTGGTGTGCTAATGGGGTCCGCTTAAGATCGCCAGCAGCACCTGTATTATTTGGAACTCCTCAGAAACTTCCTCAGAATCCATGAAGACAAACAGAAGACCTTCGTTTAAACTTTTTTTGTGAAGAAGTATATTTTAAATCTGGTGTTGGCGCTGACTGCACGATTGTGATTTAGATTTGAATGAAATCCAGTCATTACAATCCAGAGTTGTCGCAAACTGTCAGTGTCAGTCAGCCACATTCTTTATTAGGGCTGATATCCAGATGGGTATATCTGTAATGGGGTCTGAGCAGACGCTAGCTCCTTGTGTGGCAGGACTGACTTCTCCCTGTAACCTCGGACGCCCCACATAAGGGTAATTGCTTAGTGGCAGGGGGCAGAGCATTGAACCCTGAGTCACCCCGTCATAACACAAATACTTTTACCCCGTAGCAGCTCTGTTCAAGTCTTTCTTTTTTGGTTCTTAATTTCGGGACAAGTTCCAAAGCCAGAGGAGAAAACAGAAAGTAATAATAATCTTACAGGGAACTTGCATAATTAAAAACAGAAGAGTCTATTTGCGATATCAATGTTTAGAAGCACAACAAATTCTTTGTTTGCGTCTCTACAAGATGGAGAACTGTAATTGTCTCTCTCACGCATTTTTAATCTGTTCGACTCTCTAAATAAATGAAATTTTATTAAGTTGAAGTAAGAGATGACAGATTGATAACATGCAGCAATAGAGGCATTCAGTAAACTCAGGAAGTCAGGTGATTTGTGAAAGCTAGCAGGCTAACCACTGTGTTTTTGGCTGGTTTCCATTAATTTCAGGTGCTCTGTTTTTAGCATTGTGTTGATGAAGATTTTCATTTTTTCATTTTTGGGTCTTTGCACTGTGCTTCTCAGATTCAGATACATATTTATTTGTATTATTGTACAACAGTAATGCTTAATTGTGTCAAGATGTATTGGATTTTATTTTCTATATCTGTCTGATTATGCTTTGTGGGGACTTTTTATTCTAATAATCAAATACAGAAAACTAAATTAGATATTGTATATACAATAATAAATGGTGGATTAGAAGGAAACATACAGTAAATGTTAGTGCTGGGAGATTTCTTTACTTTCAGATTTCAGATTATCCCAGAAAAATGTATCTTCATCAAATTTAAAACCCCTAATTTAACTGTTGGGCTAAAAAGGACAATGTTTGACATGTGACCACTGGTGAAAAACTTAGTTTGAGTCCTGACATCTCCGTCCAAGGACTAAATTGCACTTTTATTTGGTGCACATTAGTCTATATTAAAATAACAACCTACTGGAAATTCTTTTTTTTAAAACTGTGTGATGGAGTTGTGATATCTGTTTTTAGTAATTTGTAGTAAACATTTGCACTATAAATGCAGAATCTGGGCAGATCAGTTCTGGCTTTAAATGCCTTATATTAATGTGTCTGTAGCCTTGTTTTGACTACCTATAATTGTAAAATTGATATGAAATAAGAAATTATATATAATCAGATTTAGGAACTTTTTGCTTATACGGACAGTTTTGGTTGTTAAAACAACAGACTATTCTTCTGTGTGTGAGTGCATTTCTTTTAGCTACATGATTGTGCAGATGGTTATGTTTCAGCTTAACAGATGCCCGTAAATATTGAAAACAAAAAAACACCATTCGCTTGTGTTTTCTTAAGCCAAGCCGTCTGTGTGTGTTTCTTTTCCCTTTTGGTATCAAGATTATATTTGATTCACCGCAATGTTTTCACTGCATCCCAACAGTGCTTACTGTAAAGACAAAGCAAATGTACAATTAAAAACTTTTTGGATTTTGTTTTTTGTGCATAAACCAAAATAAACACTGGACTTTCTTTAACTATACCTTTGTGTGCTTCCTTTGGACTGTTATTGACATCCAGTAACAGTTAATTATAGATTTGAACAATCATTCTCTGTATTTCTGGTTTTTCTTTCTACACTTTTTTGTCATCTATTCTTAGTCTGATGAATTAACACCCATAAGTTGTAATTAAAGCCACTTTAACTGTGATTAGCCAAACAAAGACATTTTCTGTTAGTGTTTCTGAACTTTATTGTAGTCTCCTCAGAACAGTCTCATATGGAGTAAGTGCTTTCACAAGACAAAGGTCAACAGCAATATCAGCAATATTACCATGCAGAGGACCTGTGGCATATGATGCAAAGAAAAATTGAATACAAAATAATGTCTATAAAACAGAAAAATGTAATTTGTCCACATAATATGTTCAAAGAGCATGCTTACATGAACTGGTTCTTTTATGTGAGTTGTTAAAAGAGTATTTTGACCCAAGTCATGAACTGATTTCTACATTCACAGGGTTGTTTTTTTTTTTTGTTTTTGTTTACAGTATTACAATATATACAGTACAACTTGACGTGTTGACCGAGGAATCAGGCTCATTGATTTATTTCAGGTAAAAATGTAAAAAAAAAAATCTTGCTAAGCACAAAACAATTTAGTCTCAATATACTGAAGTATATTTGTACATTTGGCCCCCATTTGTCTCCATACCAAAGGCCACGTGGACTGATCTACAATCCATTCAAAGCATAGAATTAACTTTTTTAAAATAACTACTGTCAAACCCCTGCTAAGGGTCTACATAGGCAAACTTAATGTTATATGTGACTTGGTGTCCGTTGTCCCACGCATACAAAACACCCTCTTTGGGATTGTAGTCAATCTGCGTGGTGTAGGTGTAGTTGTTGGTGAAGGGCATTCTGGGAATCATCTGAGTGTTTGTGTGCGTGTCGAAGGCGTATTCCAAGTTGGCGTCCTTTTGGTTGTAGCTGTCAACAGCGTACAAGACGCCGCACACGATGAAGCAGTTTCCGTAGTGGTTTCTCTTGAGCCCGGTTCTCCAGGTGGTCTCCCTCTGCATGCTGAGGTCTGAGGGGTTGAGCCGACTCATAACAATCACTTCCTGTAAGAAGCCCTCATCATCCAGTGCCGGGTAGATGATCCACAGGCCACTCTCGTCCACGGCAAAGTTGACGTCAGAGTGGCTGCGCCACTCCCAAGGTGACGATGTCTCCTCCACTAGAGCATCATGCAGCATGGTCCAGGCGGCCACGTGACGCAGACGCAGGTCATACTTGATGATGTCTCGGGAGAAGGCACGGTTGTAGTAGAAAGCCCCATCAAAGACCACATGGCCTGTGCCAATCCAGTTGTAAGGCAGCTTGTATGAGTTGGTAAAACGGCCTAGAAAGGATAAAGAAGAGTGGAGGGGCATGAGGTTACATCAAAGCAAAGGGATAATAAAGACGAATGTAGTGAAAGCGTAGACTACTGGCTCTTACCTGCTTTGAAAACCTGCAGGCTGCGGAACTCCAGGAGGTTATTCCCATAATAGAAATTTGTGACATAAATTTTGTCAGACTCAGACTTCGGGTCCTTCATCCATGCTCCTTCATTTCTGCCATAGGTGTTGTGAGTTACTGGATCTGAGATTGTTGCCAAAGTGTCCTTACACTCCCCTGTGAAAGAGTCAGAGCCATGAGTGAGGATTTCAAAGCAATTTAACATCATCCAGACCTGCGTCAAAGAGTCTGAAAATAATTAGAGGCATTTGTTTAAACCAGCCTGAATCACGGAAAGGATGAGGTTGCCACAAAGAACTGAGCACAGAGTTACAAAGTTTGTATTTTCTTTTCTGGCAATATGTTTGGTAAGATCCTGTAAGCTCTTTCTAAGGTGTTTTTCAGTCACTCTAGCACACCACACACTTCTAATAATGATACCTCAACATATTAACATGCATACATTAGCACTGAAAGTACCATACTGTATTACATTTAATTAACTAATTACAAAACCTTATTTTTATTTTAAAATGTCAACTTGACAAACATATCGTTCTTCCCATTCCATTCAACATATAAACTGAACTTACCGGGTTTTCTTGAAGTAAATTCCTCCTGCCTTTGCATTGGCTCATCTAATTCTGGGTGTTTCTTCTCTCCCTCTTCCTCCTCCCAACTGATTTTGTATTTCCGTTTGACTTGAGCAGCCTGTCTGGTAGTGGTGGTGGTAGTAGTGGTGGGGGTGGTAGTAGTGGTAGTGGTGGTGGTGGTGGTGGTGGTGGTGGTGGTGGTTGAAGAAGAGGCAGGTACAGGTGTGGTGAAAGGCAGAGAAGTATGGGGAGACAAGGGGATCACTCCCTGTGTGGTAGGAGGCAAAGTCGAGCCCGAAAAGAAGGCGGATTCAGTTTCTTCTGGTGCTGTGCTAGCAGCCTGCGTGGAGGTAGCTGTTGTGGAAGCTTCTGTGGGGGGTATTGGTGCTGAGGTCAGGGCAGCGTAAGTTGTTATGGTCACAGTGGAAGCTGGGCTGGTGGTTGGAGCATCTGTGGCTGGGGTTGGTGCAAGTGTGCTTGAAAGAGCTGCAGTGCTGCCAGGTATGGTTTGCGTTTGGTCTTTCACCTGCAGGGTCGAGGTTTCCATCACGGTGGTTGGGATATTTCTTGTTGTGAAAGCTCGTAATATTTCCACTGTGGCTTTATTTTCAGAGGGTTGGGGTGTGTTCATTGCAGTTTCGGTTGTTTCCTTGGCAGTGACGGCTCGTTCAGCCATCAAAGGGATTGGCCATTTAGTGGTTCCAGCAGTGACTCTTTGACTAGTTAGAGGCGCAGTCTCTGTGCTCCTGTTGTTTTGTGTGGTAGTGGTTGGTCCAAACGTGACTGATGTGTCACTCTGTACGTCTGATGTGGTTCCATTGGCACTGATTAACTCATCATGAGTTTCTGAGGCGGGCTCGTTTTTTTTCGGTGTTGTTGGCATCGTCTTTTTGGAATCGTGCGAATGAGCTCTTGTCTTTGGTCGAACTGGTCTTGGTCGAGGGGCTCTGTGTTGTAGAAGATTCTCCTCAATGAAGAGGTTAATTGGGCCATCCCCACTGAATCCATGGTACTCAAACACTACAAGAGGGAAAGGCAAAGATCTGGTCAAATAATCTGAGTGCCAATTATCCAATACCATCAAAATTGTAAAGTAAGCCATCTCTGAACTAATCAATTGAAGTGCAAACAAACAGTAGAAGCCACAGGATATAAACCCATTTGTAACTGTACATTTTTGCAGTGGCCTGACAGAGCAGCTCACAGATGGCCCTGACAGGCATCTTATGTAATGTGATTATCCATCCAAACCACTCATCCGGTTTCATGGTATGCAGATTGGATGTATAAGAAAAAGTTGAAGGTATTTTGAAGTTGAAGGTACATCCTTAACCTTAAGTTAGACAAGAATCAAAGCTGGGTTGCTGCAGTAAGAGAATATCAGGTGAGCTACCAGAGTGAACCCATACTATGAAAGCTGACTGAGGGTTTGCACTTACAGTTCTCTCCAGGCTCCCCGTCATCAGCCACCATCGGATCTGGCTCAGATTTATAAAAAGTCATTCCTCTGATGATCATTCCATTGGGGCCAGTCTTCGACCCCTGAGAAGCTTCCTTGTTAGCCACGGTTTTTGGAGTCACCTCAGGTTTGACCTCAATGGTCAGAGTAGAACCATCTGTTTGTAGGAAGATTGGATTTTCCCCAATCAACTTCTCCTCATACTTTTCCTGTTGATGGACAGATAACACAAAACCTCTATGAGGCAAATGCTCTAACAAGTGTCACTACTTTTTTCTTGATATCTTGTATTTTTCTATTTTATTTTGTTATTTAATGTTTTTTTTTCTTATCTGCTGTGTTATATCTTAAACTGCTGTAAGTGAATTTCCCCAGTGTGGGATCAATAGAGTCTATCTTATCTCTTATCTTATTACATATACTAATACTACAATGTTGACAATGCACAATTTTTGCCAAATAATCGCAATTTACTATTTAGTACTAACAGGAAATTATACAACCAATCCACCGGTGGACATCAAACAAATGACAGTTAAATGTTTTTTTCCCCCAAGGATATATGACTCGATTTCTTGTGTACGACAAACAGAGCAAGACCATCAGTTCAAAAAGATGGACTGTAAAGCAACAGTTTGGCTAGATTATTACCTACTTTCTTTAAAGGTATTTGCATTCACAGATATCAACTATTAAAGTATCAGTTATTATTACTGATGGATTACTGACCCAAGTGTGACCCAAGTTGCAATAAAGCTGAATTATGCTTTAATAAAGAGGAAACCTTTAGTCAAAAATTTAATTAAATTTTGTTTCATTCGAAACATATTAACTTTGTGAATCACTTGCATATGAAGCCCAGGTCCACCCAGCACTGTTGGACGGGCCCTCCAGTTTGTATTAAAGTTGTTGTGGATCAGGGCCCAGTGGTACAGTCACTGGTCTGAGGTCTGCTATTGTCCACTGGGTCTGCCAAATCTTCCGATTACCACAATAACTTTTTTTTTTGTTAATCATGGAGATGATGATTTTATGAAGGACTTTGTGGAAAGAACACATAATTGTTTCTTTTGTTTTGAAGCAACACAGAACACCAATAATGTTTCACCAGTCTGAACAGCAACATGTGAATCCAGTCACTTCTTTTATGCGTGTTTCTTTCCTAAATTCAGTTTATTCAGTCACTTCACAACTGAGTTAAATGTACAGTATCAGGATTTGTCCTAAAATGTTACAATGCTGATGGATGCAAGATAGAATCTTAAAGTCTTACCATTAACATGTTTATTTACTTCATTAAGCTATTATTAATTTAAGTAAGTGATACAAGTTGAATGTTGAATAAAAAAAAAAGTGTGGTGGCACTGTTTACTCTTACTATTTCTGGTGGAATTATTGGCTTACAAAAGTTATTACCTTACATGGGTAACAGGTACAGTAATTATCTAGTATCTATAAGTTAATAAGCAGTAATAATAGCTTCTTGAATGTTTTTACCCTCTGTGAAATCCAGGAATACATGTAGTAATAAATATCATATAAAATGTGTATGAACTAGGCCGGTGTACTATAATAGTTACTAACAACTTGTAATTATTTACGGTTAGGATCCATGTACTTTGCTGGATTAGTATGTGTTATTTAATTATCTGGTAAATGCTATGAATTTCCTGTATAATTTGTTATCTTACATAATGATGCCAGCTGTAATTAGTGCTTAATTCATCCTCAGTATTCCATCGTGTAAAATTGTTTTCTTTTTTTCTTTTTATGACTTAATAATCAACTTTTGTATCTATATACTTTTGTTTATACTAAATAAACTACAACCTGAATTTCATTATACAACCCTGTGTTGTAAAATAACAATTAAGTAAGTATCTTATTGTGACAGTTATTCTACTTGTTACAACTTTATTTGTAAGTGGTTTGCAAGTGTTAACTACTTTCAAAAGCATAAATAACGCTGGTACTGCTTGGCAATGAAAGGGAATCACCCTTTCGCATCAATAATTACCCAGTAAATACAACGTACTACACCTACAGTATGTGTTATGTCATGGCACTACAGCCAAATAATTACATACCTCTGGGTTTCGATACACTGCGGCTCCGCTGACCTCACCGAGTCCCTTCTTGTCCTGATGCCGGTCGGGGGGAGTGGTGGGTGGGCTTTCAGTCACATCTGCTTTGATGGGAGGGCTCTCCTGGGGCTTCACCTCATCAGTGGTGTTGTTCAGAGACACAACCTTCATGCAGTCATGGACATACCGAGATATTAACAGAAATACCGTGCATGTTCCTGTGGAAAATAGGCTGCAATCATCAGCAGTCATAATCACTAACAGGAGGAAGTGGAGCGCCGACTATCTTGAGTCATTAATAGGCAGAGAGTTTCACTTGTCATAGTAGGAAAAACACAGGTGTTAGTAATAAGATTGAAGATCACTGCGTTCTATTCAAATGCCCCAGTAAGTGATGGCAGTGAGGCAGCAGGCACAATACCAGGACGCTGAAACTGGAGCAGCTAAATAGAATTCAGCCATCATTCATTTCATTTTCTCCTGAGCTTTTCTTACTGTGGCTTGTCAAAATGCTTTCTGTGGATAGGACCTATGCTCATCCCTTCCTAGAATGCACTTTAAAATACAATGAGCATCTTTGCCTACTAACTGATCTTTTCATGTGTCATACGAGGACACAGCTGAAACTAATAAAATCAATAATGGATACACTTGATTTACACATTCATTTTATTAACTGCAGCTGTGAAAAGGGTCATTTCTGAAGCACATACAGCTATTGCCCTGACAGTTTGCACCACAGCTTTCTAACATCATGGAAGCAGAGTATGTTGTATGTAACACTATTATCAAGGGTCATTCGATCAGTGACCCAATTAATGTTTTAGGTCCAATGTTAATTGTTAATAATAATGAGATAAAACCCTAAAAAGTGTTGTATGTAAAGATTTGAATCTCTGAGTCTTCAAATCCAGTCAGTGCAAGATTATTTTGAAAATGTTTTTAATAACACACCCATGGTACGTTCACACAGGGGGTTTCAGTTATTGTGGATAAGTAGACCCTGTCTGGGCACATAACCCTGCAGTTAGCTTTGGTGCACCTGTTTGGGCGGGACAGCTTTATGATTGATGATGTTTAGGATTTAATTAAGTAGATGGAGTTTGGTATGACAAATTCACTGTTGAAAGGCACATAGTTTATTGCTGTTCATTTCTTGACTGAACATATCTTCACATTAACTGAAGATATGTAAAGCTTTAAGCCATTTTGTTTCAGATGACAAATTTAGTCTAAAAATACACATCCTTTGACAAGTCATTAAAATTCTAAAGTAATGTGTTAATGTTCCAATAGAAAAAATGACTTAAAAAGGTATTTTATAACAGGTCAGTGAGCTACTTTTTTCTCAAGAAGGGGATACTCAACCCGATGAACTTCCACATGTGAAAGAGAGTCTGATCGCTCCTTCCAGGTTCAGCCTCTAATAAAAGTGAAAACTGGCCCAAAGAGTGTGTTTTGTTGGACCCACTGAACCTAGAAGCCACCAATACAAACACACCTGCTACCACCAGTTCGTGCTTATGTTATTACCAACTACATCTTTGCAAAATAAATAAATCAGATAAATACCTTCTCAATGTGTTCCATGCGATCCAGGAGCTTATTGGTAACAGAGTGCAGCTTCAGTAGGTCCATGCCATAGAAGGAGCCCTCCAGCAGCTCAAGGATGGTGGACAGCTAGAATGATCAAGTGGATTCCGTCAAAAGGGTTTTACCAATTCAAGACATGCCATGCGTAAAATAGGCCTATCCCCAGCCCATCCAAACCCAGAGTCTCTGGGTATGGGGTAAAATGTGGGGCTACGCTTTCCTGAATTTGATAAAAACGGGATATTCATACTCCCAGTGATCCAGGACTCTCTAGAAATCAACAGGCGAGCAAGACAGCAGCCGTTCGCCTCATGGGGGCTATTGGAGGCTCTAGTACGCACGGAAAACGGACAGGATGACACTTCACCTTGACATTCTCTTTTCCAGCTTCCCTAAGTCTTTTCAGCCTGAACTCTCCCTCGCAGGGGTTGACTGCTGACGGAGGAGCGATGCAGGCGCACTTGCACTCTGGTCCAGATGTGATGGTCTCCACAGTGTAGAAGTCCTGCACAGTGGCGCTCCCCTCTTCTATCCGCCGGCAGGCGCTCCTGCTCAGGGGTCTGACAACACATTTACACCGACAGTCAGAGCCTTCCGAGAGGGCTTTCACTTTGTCATAATCACCCAGCAGCTACAAAGAGAAGAGGACGGATGTATTTTGCACCACGCTCAATCAAAAACGTTTGAATTTTGACGCAGGAAATGGTGAAATGTCCATAAAACAAGAAAGGGATATTTCCTCCTACCTTAGAGAGAATGCTCTCCTGCCCATCTATCTCCTCCTGCAGTCTGTCACTTTCCTCTGCATTGCTCTCAAGTTGTGACCTGGGATCTTCACCCCAGGTCTTTGGCGCTGCAGAGCCCCGTGGAAAATACGCACAGCACACTGCGATGAAAATCCATAACTTATACATGTTGTGAGGCTCACAGAGCGCCGAAAAGAGAAATAATGTTGCAAGTATGCTGGCAGGCACAGCCTGTCACCAATTAGTTAAGCTGCCAAGAAAATATCATAGCCTGCTTCTGGCTCCAAAAAACTAGTGAGGGGTATCCAGAAGAGTCATCAGAGAGCGAGATTAAGCTTTATAGCGCGATGTGATGTTTTTCATTGTCAGTGAAGGCGGGCTGGTTTTGTGCAGAGAAAGCGTGCAGTCGATGAGAGAGCAGCCGGCATCTGCAGCTGGAGCAGCGCGCACAGGAGGCGGATCTCTGAGCACACTGGCGAGGAGGAGGTGACCTGCTTCAGACGCTTTCTCAAACATGATGTGCAGCACAATTAATATTAGTCATAAGTGAAATATTCGCTCAGAGCTTCAGTCTAATGTTGGATTTTCTTTGAGATTCGACGTCCAATGGAAGGTCCTAAAGCTCATTAGGAGGTTAAATAGAAAGTAGCAGCCTGTTGCATGTGGATTTGATTTGAGTCGGTCCCGCTGTGGTTTTGCTGCCCTCTAGCTGCAGCAGTGTTTATTCACATGACAACAAACACAGCATTGGAATTAACTTGTTTATTTTTACTTTAAGGCACATTCAATTTATGCACTTATCTTCATAAAACTTGTTCCTGTAATGTGATATGTGTATAGAAAATGGAGCATGGGAAGTTCAGTTAAGGCACGTGGTGCCGTGTAGGTTTGAGAGTTGTGACATTTGTCATAAAAAGCATAAACCCTGTGTTGAGATACCAAAAAGAATACCACTGCCCAATAGCTCTTTGTGATCATTATCCATAGGAGAACAATCAAGTCTTACATTAAATAACTTTTAAAATTTACACAAATTGCAGCAGTTACCATCAACATTGCACATTATACAGTAAAATCCACAAAACCCCGTTCAATCGCTTTTCATTTTGTAAGTGGTCTAAAATCAAATTTGATCAAAGTACTAAAACAAAAAGCACCACAGCCTTTTGTCAAACATTTTTTTCATCATGAATTTCGACATACATCTTTACAAATATCCCATTGTATAATCGTAATCTTAAGTGTCATATTTCTACTTAAAGTCTTCATCTGTAGTGACCTTCAATATATGGTATATGTAAGAAACCTCTGGATCTTTAAAGGCCCAGTGTGTAATATTTAGGAGAATCTATTGGCAGGAATGGAATATAATATTTATAGAATGAGCCAATTTGAGCTACAGATGCCAGGGGTCGCCTTCCATGCAGACCGCATTGTTCAACCACCGCGTTTCTACAGTAGCCCAGAACGGACAAACCAAACACTGGCTTTAGATATGGTTCATCACGAGGTTCACGGCCACCGTAGTTTCAACTATACATTTCACAGGGCGTTTGCATTCCCAGGTGGTCATATACAGACAGGAGCAGTGGTTCGTTAGTTGAGATCTGCAACGTCACCGCCAAATGCCACTAAATCCTACACACTGGTCCTTTAATGCTGCTACTAGCCTCAGAATGACACCCAGTGAGAAAGCTGATAGATAGACAGAAGAGTTAAGTGCTTAGACCAAAAGTTCAAACAACAGTGATTATTCATGTCCCCTAGCATCCTTCATGCTCCATCCTTTCCTCTGCTGCCACCGGCAGGATGAGGTGGGAAATGCGGCTCCACAGGCCACCGTACTTGTCGAGGTCCATCCTGTCAAAAGCTACAGGGTGGCCGTCAGAAAGGAACTTCTTCTGAAGGTGGTCATCCACCATCTCCTCCACAGTACTCAAACGACTCTTGGCAGGAATCTCTTCTTCCTCCTCCAGCAGTACTGTGAATATCAGACAAGTCTTCTTGTAGGCGGCGTTCTCGTGGTCGCAGTAGCGGTAAAAAATGAGGGTAGAGCCCGGAGGTAGCTCCTCAAAGCGGTGAATGACGGCCACGGGTTTGTCTCCTTCGAAAGCTCCCTGTAACTTGCTGTCAATGTCCAGTTTGACCTGGTCGCTGTCCTGGCTGGCTTTGCCGGCACCATCGATGTGGAGGACGGAGGCGTTGAGGGCAGAAGAGAAGGCGGAGGCCAGGCCCTGAGCCAGGCAGCGCAATGTCCGCTGGGCATTGACGCCTGCAGTCAGGATCAGACTGACGGGCTCTGTGGGCTGGGCCGTCTGGAGGTGCCTCAGCAGGTGGATCCTGCTCCTTTTCCACAGCTCAGCACGCTGGTTAGGGAACTGAGTATTTAATTTATCCATCTGGCTGAGGAAGATGTCGATTTGCCGCACATCCTTTTTCTCGGGTGGAGCCTCGGGTTGGAAGAGATGCTGCACCAGGATGGCAACAACGACCACTATAACCACTGCTATCAGATATCTTGCACATCCTACGGGGAGAAGGCACATGTGTTGTTTCAACCAGTACTCTAGAAGCAATTCACAAGTTATTTATAACTGTGTCTCAAGTATTACACCACATACGTTGTTAAAGAACTTGAAACTACAGCATTTTCATGATGATCACTGACAGTAAGGTCTTGGTTGTCATTTGATTTGAACGTTTTCCTTCGATAGTTTTGCTTTGCTAGTAATCACCGTGACACTAACAAGAAACAAGAAAAGATAAAACGTGAAGAAAAAGTAACAAGATTACCTCCAGTAATCCCAGTCACCACTGGATCTGCATGTTCAGTAGACTCCTGAGTAGTAGGGCCAACGGTGTGTATTTCCAGGTCGCTTCCACCATCTGATCAATGGGAGAAAAAAATACAGTTACAACAGACTAAACTAAACAGACACCCCAACCACAGGAAGTCATTTGTGCAGATACATGCTCATGCTCCCTCACTGACTTCCCATCAATGAACCACCTATGAACGTCCAGAAGCTCAGCACCCCACAGCGGAGGCTAAAGGAAAAGGAAATTCTGCAATCATTGAAATTTCAGACTCACCCTTTGTGGTGTTAGTGTCTGGGGTTTCTGTCTTAAGTCTATCGTTGGGTCCATCTACTTTGTCCTTCTTTCTGTCACGCAGGGTTGGTGGAGTAGGTGCTTCTGGTGCTTTTTTCTCCCCAGCGTGATATTCTCCTGATAAAAATATAATAGTTTAACTCCCAGAAAAGCTCAAGCATCAGTGTCACTACAGTTACACTTTAAGTGGGGTTTAAAAAAGGTCAGAGCGAAAAGAGTTTTTAATCTCCCAATATTAGGATAGGTTCACGATTTTTAAGTCTGTCTTTAAACAATACTCACATGCCCATGTGTAACTGAAACAGCTTATTTAGTTGCTGTAAATTTATTTGAGACAAATGACCACTGGGTTGTGGCATCAGCCATTTTCGTGTGGGAGTTGGTCTGCTGGGGGGAGCAGGCCAGCATCTCGGCCAGCCGACAGAGAGACTCGGACAAACCTGATTTAAGGCAAGGCCGGGCCTCGTGTCCTCTGGCTCTGGGTTCTGTTCTCCCACCCGCATGCAGGACACCATCATGCCACTGGGGCAGCTCCTTCAGCCGACAGACTTCTGTCACCCCAAGATGTTTTGGTGAAGGAGGGAGATATGTCGGGTTTTAGGTCCTTCCTTCCTGCTGCCGTCAGGACTGTTTAAACAACCAGCACTGGCTTCCAGGTAAAACAGTAATCTTATCTTTATGGGTTTTTCCAAATAAAGTAGAGGATGAAATTAACGTGTAGCCTGACTCAAAGAAGGTGTGTAAAATTCATTACACTGAGTCGCCTAATGCATTATGTGATACCATAGTGTGGAATAGGTCTTAAAGACTATTAGGGAAAGGTAGACTAGAAAGTAGTTGGTACACTCATCTGGTGAAACAGGTCTCATATACACCTGTTTTTTATTTGATTCTCTCTCACTACACAGCGTCCGCTCGCGCTATATATAGTGTTTTCAGTGAAGTAGCAATTTGTATATATAATAAGTATTATTATCGCCGTTTCTCTGGTTGTAATCACCATGGACTTGCTTCAATCAGTGGATACAGGTGGGTATATATATAGGTGTTGCTGTGTTGTTGCTTCACTCGGTCCGACACTGCTGGCTCTGAAAGGATGGATAATAA